AGCACACACACCCAGACTAAGAAACATTCTATAAAATTACCAACCCGAAATCTTCAAAAGGAACAAGGAAAGGCTGTGGAGCTATTCCTGACTGAAGGAGACTAAACGCAATGTAGGATTCTGAACTAGATCCTTTTCCTATTAACAGACACTATCGGGACAACTGGACAAATCTGAATGGGGTCTGAGGATGATAACGGCCATGGATCCACACTAACTCCTGGCTTTGAGAGCTGTATTCTAGCCATCCAGGAGAAAGTCCTTGTTGTAGGAAACACACATTACGGTGTTGAGGAACAATGGTACATCATTTTGGCAACATACTCTCTTAATGGTTCAAGAAAAAGAAGAAACTTGTACTATACTGTAACTGTTTGGTAAGTTGGTGATTGTTTCCAAAAAAGAAAAGAATGAAAACAAAATTTTTAATTCAAAACCAAATAGGTTTAAAAAAATCCATGAAATACTAAAAGATCGCTTAAAGTGAGATATGACTCAGAAAGCAAAATTTCAGCTCCTAATTGCAGAAATAATAACCTCAGGTCAGTATTCTTCTTGAGAAATTTCAAAAACAATCTGAAAACATAAACTTTTAGCAAAACAAAATGTCTTTAAATATGTACTAAAAACAAAGCAGTAGGGGCCAGCGCCGTGGCAGAGAGGTCAAAGTTCTGTGTGCTCCGCGTTGGCAGTCCAGGTTCATGGGTTTGGATCCTGGGTGTGGACTTGCTCTGCTCATCAGCCGTGCTGTGGAGGCATCCCACATACAAACAGTAGAGGACGGCACGGACGTTGGCTTGGGGCTAATCTTCCTCAAGTGAAAAAAAGAGGAGGACTGGCAATGGATGTTGGCTCGGGGTGAACCTTCCTCACCAAAAAAAATAAAAATAAAAATAAATAAACACATAAATAAATCATTAATGGATATCAACAAACTGGTTCTAAAGTTCGTGTGTAGAGGTAAAAGACTCAGAACAGCCAACTCAATAGTGAAGGAGAACAAAGTTGGAAGACATGCTACTCAACTTCAAGACTACTATAAAGCTCTAGGAATCAAGACAGTGTGGTATTGGTGAGAGAACAGACAAACAGATCAACAGATCAGAGAGCCCAGAAAAAGATCCACATACATATAGTCAACTAACCTTTGACAAAGAAGCAAAGGCAATGCAATGGAGCAAAGACAGCCTTTTTAACAACTGGGTATCCACATGCAAAGAAATGAATCTAGACACAGACCTTACACCTTCACAAAAATTAACTTAAAATGGATCACAGACCTAAATATAAAATGTAAAACTACAGAACTCCTAGAAGCTAACATAGCGGAAAACCTAGACGTCCTTGGCTTTGGTGACGACTGTTAAGACAACACCAAAGGCACGATCCATGAAAGAAATAACTGATAAGCTGGACTGGATTAAGATTGAAAACTTCTGCTCCGTGAAAGACAATGTCAGGAGAAGACGACGACAAGGCACAGACCGGGAGAAAGATTTGCAAAAGACACATCTGCTAAAGGACTGTTATAAAAAATACACAAAGAACGCTTGAAACTCAACAGTAAGAAAACAACCCAACTAAAAAATGGGCAAAAGATCTGAACAGACAAGTCACCAAAGAAGACAGACAGATGGCAAGATGAGAAGATGCTTAACACTGTATGTCATAGGGGAAATGTAAATTAAAACAAACATGAGACACACTACACTACTATTAAAATGGTCAGAATACTGACAACACTGAAGACTGCCAAGGATGGGGAGCAACAGGAACTCTCGTTCACTGCTGGTGGGAACGCAAAATGGTGTGGCCACTTTGGAAGAAAGCTTGACAGTTTCTTACAAAACTAAACATTCTCTTACCATATGAGCCAGAAATCACACTGCTTGATATTCACCCAAAGGACCTGAAAATTTATATCCATACAAAAGCTTACATAACAGACAGTTATCACAGCTTTATTCCTAATCGCCAAAACTTGGAAGCAACCAAATGTCCTTCAGTAGATGAATGGATAAATCAATCGTGGTCCATCTGGACAATGTAATATTATTCAGTGCCAAAAAGAAATGAGCTCTCGAGCTATGAAAAGAGATGAAGGAAATTTAAATACATATTCCTAAGTGAAAGAAGCCAATCAGAAAAGACTACATCCTGTGTGATTTCAACTATATGATATTCTGGGAAAGGCAATTATTATAAACTGGAGAAACTCTTTAAGGAATCCTGAAATTTGAGGGATCAAATATGAAATATGTTTGAATATTTAATATTGCTTAGAATATCACCAACCCCCTTATAACCCTCAGAAGTCAACACAGCAATCATTAATAATGTCATAAAGAAATGAAAGTCAGTCAACCAAAACTTCCCATTAAATATGAATTGTTGTAAACTGTATAAATAGATAAAAGAATCATTTTCACCAACTGGTCAGCTGGATAAATTAAGTAACTCAAATTTCAATAGAAGAACAGACTGTCTCATTGTAAATTTTATAACTCTTCCACAAAATTGGGAGCTAATACTTATGTTTATGGTAATGTTTCTACAAGTTTTTTCTTCTGCTTGCATTGTTTTATATTTCACTAATTATCTTTTAAGAACAAAAAAACTTCAATTCCAAAGAAAATTTCTAAATACTACTTAATAATACTGTTGATTCTCGTTATTTGTGGATCTCCTATTCGTGAATCTGCCTACTCGCTACAATCATCTGCAACCCCACGGTCACCGTCTGTGGGGCTTTCGAGTCTTGTGGACGCGTGCAGGACTGTGGACGCCTGCAGGTGCCCACGTGCACGACCCCAGCTGGGAAACACGGCGGAGCTGCCCTCGTGTTTAGCTCTCACACTGCGAACCAGGGCCCTTTCTGTGGGCCACGGTAGAGCCACTTTGCTCACATTTTTGTGCTTTTTGCTGGTGATTTTGCTGTTTAAAATGGCTCCCAGCAGCGTTGTGCAGAAGTGCTGTCTAGTATTCCTGAGAACAAGAGCTGTCATGTGCCTTAAGAGGAAAGTACGGGTTAGACGAGCTTCATTCAGTATGAGTCCAGTACTGGCCCTGAGTTCAGTGCTAATGAAGCAAGCACACATAGTAAATAAGGTGTCAAACAGAAACAGTTTTATTGATACACGTGAGGTTCTGTATTGATTGGCTGATGAAACGTGACCAGAGGCTCAGGAACCTAACCCTCTATTTCGGCTAGGAGCAACAGTTCAGTACCCACTAATTCAGTGTCTGTGGCAACTTTACAGAACACAGCTACCAGGAATAATGAAAATCAGCTGTTTTATTGTAGCTGAGGACTCGGTTTATTCAGCTTACTGATTTTCGTATATTCTCATGTTAGTGATTTATTCTTCCCTATGTTTCACTGAGATAGAGAATCATGGAATGCTATGCTTGGTTCTAGCTTAGCTATAAACACAAACGTAAGTATGCTTACTTTTCTGGATCTTAATTTCTCATCTGCAACATCAAGACTACATGAACTTTAAAATACATATAGTTTTTACTTATTTATTTACACTAAAGCCTGAGTTATGTTTAAACGCCAGCGGCCAAGAGAATGACATGGATGTGAAATATTTCAGTTTAACAACACTGAGTTAACACCGACTTGTCCCCATGATACATAAGGTTAGTTGAGTGGGTCAGAAGAGCGTGGTACCAGTGGGGACCAGGTGTGCCCCTGCTGGCCTTGCAGGTCCCACAACCATGTGTCCTGCTCTTATCTTTGGCAGCTGTACCATTCCTCTATTTAAGGGGTAGGGGGTGAGGGGGCACAACTGAGAAAGTGTGACGAGAACACAGAAATACAGGGCAGATTACTAGCAGAAAAGCCTAAGAGTGTGTGTACGACAGGGCTGGTGATGAAAATTATTGTCCATGACATGGGGAGCAAGGCAGTTAGGTTTTAGTGCCACTGTGGTGGGGGCATATACACCAAAAATAAGAAACAACACTGAGACTGGGGTGAAGCTCGTCACCAGGACACGCCTCGTCTGCTGCTCCACCCAGAGAGCAGGCCAGGTGAGGACTGAGGATGCACCTGTGGGGTTATGGGTTCCTGCCCCACGGCGGGGACAGGATGACGGACTGGGAACACCTGCCCAGCAAGGCTAACAGTGCTGCTGCTTATGCTAACAAAGGTGCAAACCTATGTGGCTATAACAGCTTCTACAGAGAAAAAATCATTTGGAATTTATATTCATTCTCTGCTTAGCAAGGTTCTAAAAAAACTTGTGGGGCCAGCCTGGTGGTGCAGGGGTTAAGTGTGCATGTTCCGCTTCTGCAGCACAGGGGTTCGCCAATTCAGATCCCAAGTGTGGACATGGCACCACTTGACACGCCATGCTGTGGTAGGCGTCCCACATACAAAGTAGAGGAAGATGGGCACGGATGTTAGCTCAGGGCCAGTCTTCCTCAGCAAAAAGAGGAGGATTGGCAGCGGATGTTAGCTCAGGGTTAATCTTCCTCAAAAAAAAACAAAAACAAAAACAACTTGAGTACATTGATTAATCTAAGAAAAAACCTAGCCTTTCTATACCATCTCCAAGTGTGAGTGCCAGTGAAGGCTCTGAATGACGGGAGACAGGCAGGGGGCAGACATCCGACCGTCCTGCGCAGTCTGGTATCCAGGACAGTCACCCACCTGTTCTCTCTCCTCTTCACACTTTGTGCATGGGAAATCATTCTACAGCCAGATTTCCAAACAACAGGTACTAATCAGGAAACAACGAGGCAGCGACAGGCAGCTTACTTTTCCCCTAATATCCAAATTACCAAAACCTTTATACTTCACCGTAAAATGCAAAGGTATCAACCAAATGACTCACTGGGACATGGAGTAAATTTATAAATTTAAATCGACAATTATCAAAGAGCTAAAAAATATACTAGATGTTTGTTAGGTGAAAATGGAGATAAATTCAAGAAAACAATGTTAACATTTATTTTGTCTTAAAAACTAAAGTACTGATGCTGCTACTTACCAATAAATTTCTGGCATTTGAAACACTCTTCCAGCCACTCTGGAGTCACTATGTGCTTCACCACAGAGATGGCCGTCAGGAACTTCACCGTGCGCGTCACCTTGCTGGCGATGAGGTGCGTGCATTTCTGCGCAGACTCAGCAACCTCGCCACCAAGAATGTAGAGCTTCTAGAGGGCACGAGCACAGATCAGGGATGAGAGCTAAGTCTACAGAGCCACACAACAGTATGGTACAGAGAATACTTGTCTAAGATTTATGAACAGAACTCTCGGCCATGGAAATAGTACAACTGGCAAAACGAAACCAAACCAAACCTACAACACTATAGGAGAAAAATGAAAAACTTATAAAATACTTTTTATAAATTTATAAAATACTTTTCTGTCATTAATCCCCCACTAATCAAGATTAAAATGCGAATTCTCCCTCCCACAATAACATATCCCTATGAGTAAATAAAACGCCCTGAGAACAATGCAGCTCATTTCATGGTAAGAAGTGAAGACACCCGACTTCCTAAGCTGAAATGAGTGTAAATGAGGCATATTAACATACTGTCTCCGTTTTGAAAAATGATGGCCTAACAATTGACTGAGAAGACGCGAATATATAAAAAAATGATCTCAATAACTATACTCAATTTTAAAGGTAAAAAAATTAAATTGTACTAAATTTACAACAGTAGCACTTATACTTGTTTCTTTTCCCTGAACAAAATTAGAAGTAGTAAGTATGAATCCAACACGATATAGGTCAACTTACACTCTTAACCATCCCCCTAAAACCAGTAAAACAAAATCCCATAATCCCTCGTGCTGTTTCCAAAAGTATATTTAAAATTTTGTTCCCATTTATCATCTAAATGTACAAACACGCAACTCCCCCTGGCCTACCCTACCCAAGACAGCTACTCTCACAGACGGTGGCTTCCATCAGGGAACTTGAAGGGGCACTTCGCTCTCTCGAGCTAGCTGTCTCTACGAAAACAACATTCCCGCGGCCTTGAAAACGTTCACGGGACTATAAAAACGGTTCTTGGTCTACGCACCTGAGTCCTATTTTTCTACTAATACAAAAGCAAGTAGCTAAGTATGAAATAATAGCACAGGACAAGGTGGGAAGTCAATAATGATTTAATGACTGCTTATTACTATAAATACTATGACAAATAGTTTATAAACACCAACTCTAAAGACTGCTATAAGATACTGCTGATTAAATACTAGTTTAGTAAACTGCTGGCCTAAAGTAGATATATACAGAAAGGAACACTGCCAAAAATTCTTTTACAAAGTAGAATAAAATTTCACCTTAATATACTGTTGAACTTGGACAGGCTCAAATCCAGTGAAAAGCACAAAAGGGGTCAATTCTGGTGTTAACTTTTTAGTAGGAGGTGGTATATCTTCAATTCTATAAAATAAATACACACAAAACAGAATGATGATTTTATTATTTACTTAAAATAAAAATGTTCTCCAGAAAACAACGGATTTTAACAGCTTTAATAATAGCTCTAAGTGTGTGTGGTTTTTTTCTTAAAGGAAAAATGCAGTGAGCTACCTGTCCTTCCCTTCCCCCCATTTATACAAAGTCACCCCAAAAAGACCGCATCTGGCACCTCCACAGGAAGTAGCCAGCTAACGTACGGTCAGGAGGGACACTGTCCTCTTGCTCATCAATCTCCTTCCTCTCCCAATTAAAAGTGTTTTAAAAAGGCTTTAAAAAGAAGGCAATCAGGGACGCTGGTCTTCTCCACCTCGCTGCTCGGCTAGTTTACCGGTCCTTCCTAAGGCGGCTTGTCCTCACGTCGGCACGCGCATGGCATCGGCGAGAGGGAGCACCCGGCCCTCTCCCACCCCTCCCCGCCCACACCAGCGGGCACAGACGAGCTGCCTGACTCAAGCACACATCTTCCTAATCAGTCTTTGACGTTTCGTTGCATTTTTTTCAAATCTTATTTTTAGGTTATATTTAGTTGAGACAGTCTAGGTAAAAATTCTTTTTTTAAGTTTACTTATGGTAATTTTATGACAGTCTTAAAAAAATATAATCCCACATAAGATTTTACTAAAAAACGCGGTAATTTACAGGTTGTATGGCCGTAGGAACGGAAGGAGGAAAAGATGAGCAGCAAGGAAGAGGGAAGATGAAGAAACTGGTAACAGCAAAAGACGACGTGAGCAGTTAACCTGCAGAATTTTCTAGAATCACGCAGAGAGAACAAAGCTCCCTTGGTTTGCTCCTGCATTTGCTGTGCCTTACTAACTAAATGATTGGCAGGACCTCCTCACTGACTAGTACTGGCCAACCACATCTCTACCAGGTGAGACTAGTCAAGTCTGCAGGCCCCAAGCCAAACGCGAGGTGCAGCGTTTGGGCACACGTCCTTCCACAGGGTCTTGGTCCCATCCCACCCGGTTCACGGCGTTACCCTCCCCTGCTCCTCGGACTCAAAGCTGAGGACGCTCACGCCTGCGCGCCTGGGGCTGGGGTTCCTGTCCCCCACCCATCCCACCACAGCAGCTCATCTTTTACAGACTGGAGTTCTCGTAAGGTTTTGCTTAAATAAAAAGATTCAACAGTTTTTTTAATAAAAGAGAAAAAAATGCTGGCCTATTCACCATTTATCTGCAGCAATAAAATGAGACATATTACAATACAGCTGTGAAGCAACAAGCAAATCCTTTTAAATCCTGTATACTGTGACAATTTTTGGAAACTTCCCCAATTGCCACCATTTTCTAAAACAGACTGTAAAAGATAACCCCCTACAGAAAAGTAAGGGGATTATTCATACCTGGCTCTTTTGGAAGAAGGCTGGCTATTAGTTACTTCATTCTGTTTCATTTTGGTAGGTAGTCTCACACCCTGTAATTAAAATATTATTTCCTTTAATCAAACTCCCAAGTAAGACAGTAGCTTCCAAGAGATTTATGTGTCAAACACCCAAACGATCTCCTCATATACGAGAACCGCACTCTCCACATCCAAACCCGCACCTGCCTAGGAAGACAAGCAGGACCCGAGTCAGGAGCAGAGGTGACTTTCCAGAGAACCTCGGCCACTTCCCAGCCTGCCTTCTTTAGTCACCAAGTCCTATCAGTACTCTAAAAGGTCTTCATCCTTTTCTCTCTTCACTTTAGTTACAGACGTCATCCTCAACCTCAAACTTTTCAGAACAGTGTTCATTTCAAATATTTTGTCTGCATCCCAATTTTGAATTTGGAAAACATATTCAATGCAATAATATCCCCTAAAAAAGACCATCCCTGAAACAAATTTCACCTATGAAGGTTCACCAAAGATCTGACACGACAACCAGATCACAGCGCTGTAAAGAGCAAGACATGGTGTTGCAGGCCACAGGGTTTCCCAGGCCCGACACTCGTCTCCCTGGAGCAACTCGAGTGCCTGACCTGGGCGACGGCGAGCCACGTGGAGAGGAGAGAAGAAGGCACCCCTCCCCGAGGAGCAGCCGCGTCCACGCCCACCTCTCCCTGCGAGGCGGCCCCACGTCCACTCCCCACTTGGCTGCTGCTCCCTGTCCACCCCTCTTCACATCTTGAGCGCAGAGGTTTTTCCAAAGACATTCTGTTTATGTTAACTATTTGAAGCAACTACCTCTCGATTTTACTAGTTTATGTTAACTACAACTTAGATTTTCTGAATATTGCTACTATAACTAGACCACCAGAATATATATAAGCATATCTAGAGAAAACACTTGAACCTATTAGCCTCTTCAGACACGGCAACTCCAGCTTTACAGTAATCTGCAGGAGGGTTTAGACTTTTTCTACCACCGCTACAAGAGAACAACCGCTCAACTTCCATTGGCAACGACCACACTCACGTCTCCAAGTTACCATTCCTCGGCAGCAGTGCCAGAAACAGACAGTAGGATTAAAAAAGGCTTCCTGGTCACTAAGACTTTCAGCCTTCAGTTACTGGTACAGACGTAAGAGGACTCGACATCCGGAGCCCCTAACACAACTGCAGAACCTAAGCCTTGTGGTTCAGGGCGGAAAATCTCTGATGATCACTTTCCGAGCTTGATCTTAAAACCCACCATAAAATCTCTTTCATCCAAATGAACTGGGAGACTATTTGCTTTTGCTGATGTGTCAGAGCTGGTCATGTTTTATTAAAATCATAATTACTAGCTTAGGGGAAAAAATGCCTACACAACCACATGATCATCAGGAAGAAAACAGACAGCAGCCTCGAGGCTCCCTGAGAGGCTCCAGGTAACTGCGAGCAGCTTCCGGACCAGCAGTGGGAAAGGAGCGCGTCACAGCACCAACAAGCAGACACAGACAGGTGTCACTTGGCGATCCTGACAAGAACATTCTCCTCGGCCAGCTGTTTACATGAGCACAAACCCTAAACGGCCTCTGTAGCTGACAGGGTGGGGTGAAAATCCAGGGCACAGGGCCTGGAAGTCCACTACCAAAAACGCAGGCTGACATAGAATGTGGATGTCAGCCTGAACCTCTGAATCGCACGATCAAGCAACACATAAAGGCTGCTTTTCTCACAGCGACCGCAGTTAAACAGTGATGATTCACAGCAGAGAAATTCTTCAGCAAGAAATGACTGAAATGGTAATGTGCAAAAACAGTGAGAAACACACGCTCTGCCCATCGTGCTGACAGAAGAGAAAGCTGAGGGCCCCTCACTCCGAAGGCAGCCCAAACCTGTCTCCCAACCAGCACCCACAGGCATTCACACTTCCAGGACGGCCCCTCCTGAGAGCACGCCATCAGAGACCTCAACCAGAGTGAGGGGACCCACGCTGGGACCTGAGGACACTGTGTCCTGTTACAGGAGCTCGGGCCCCATTCACTCCTCCTCGGAGCCTAGAGCGAATATAGGTCCAGGGTTTGCAATGCCTGTTCCCATAGTCCTTGCCTCTCTAACCCTATGAGAACAAGCAGTCTTACCGCATTCTCTTCTCCAATTCTTTAAGCAATCACATAGCTCTTTGAAGCAAATAATGCTCCTCATGAGTATAAATATGGATGACAGACCATATCATCAATTAAGAGAGAAAACAGACACAAGGCACACACTTCATGACAGGTGGGAGGACACAGCCTTCGTCTGTTGTTAAGTTGACAAATTACTAAAAGAATTTTAATTTACAAATACAAATATACCTACTGCATTTTTACAGTACAGTAATAGCCAAAGTAAGATTATTAACTTGACGTACCATCAACAACTCTGCTGACACTTTCAGTGGAACTCTCCAAGCATCTAAAGAGAGAAAGACATTATTTTTACAAAGATACATTGTTTAAACAGAAAAGCCTGTTCATAAAAGCCCCCTCTGGGGCTGGTAATCCTAGACACATAGGTGGTTAGCTGATGACATTTCATAAAGATAAATGTAAGGACTACACTTAAGTTACACAAAAGTTCTCAGTGCCAGGTGAGGAGGAATCGCAGGCGGTTGCTGGAAGGCGCTGGTGGCTTGGTTCACGGTACCCCTCCTACAAGGGCTAGCACCAAGGCAGCCAGCGCGCGGCACAGACACCGCGTCTGAAGCAAAGGCCCTGCCCGCTCGCCGTGCGTCAGCCAGCTCTGGGAACCACAGAGTCTGGCCTCTAACAAACCACCCACGCCGAGAGGTGGCCAACACGAAGGACCACAGGGCGCTGGGGATGGCTGAAGGGACTGGCTCGCTGCCCAGAGGGTGACCATGTGAGACACTCAGAGACGGAACAGGTTCCACGCGAAGGCAGACCCGCAGATGCATCACAGGGACGCAGACGCAGCGCAGGATGAAGAGCTGTCTCATGGTTAAAGCCGTCCGAAAACAGAACTTAACGGGCTTCTTTAAAAGAGAACATATGAAAGCAGCGTGCTTTCCCAGACAGACCCAGGCATTCTGCATCACTGAACGGAGCAGCAGCAGGCGTGCACACTCCTGCCTCTCGTCACAGCAACCCATCCAAGTACGACGAGGACAAGAGGAAGAGACGTGGACTTGGACTTAAACCGGGAGGAAAGCAGGGGACGCTTCATGGGGAGGCCGCACTCTGGGTAAATGATAACTGGCTTAAGAGACAAGACTGAAAAGGTTTCTGAGAGTTCCTTCCATCTCTAAAAGTCCATTTTAAAAAAGCAAATAAAACTATCAAACCAACAAAAGATTCTGGGCAGAGTGTGGGGAGAAGGAAGACAGAGTGTGGAGGGACCCAGGAAACGCGCCTAGAACTGACGAGAGCGCTAAGGCCGAGGCTGGCGGTGAGCGTGAGGAAGAGGTGCGGGAGCGCGCCTGCCATTTCCTGAAGCAAAACGCAGAGCACCAGAGTCCACTCACCCAGGAGACTGAAAACCAGCTGCGGGGTGGGGGCGAACGGGTCAGCCAGGTTGAAGGCGGTGTAGCGACTGTACTGGACCTGCCTCAGCGCCTCGAAGTTCCCGAGAAGGATGTCGCCGAGCCACTGGGCATTCACGCAGGGGATCCTCCACTCTTTGGCTTTTTCATACTTTAAACCAGCTGGTCTTTTTTTGTGGAGAAGAAAACACATTTATTAAATGTCAGAGTTGTCTGCTGTCCAAATTTCTATATATTTTCCCCAGAAGCCAATAAAGAACACTTCCTCACACTGGGACGGCAGGGCCACCGTAGCGAAGTTGACGCAACCGCAGGCTGAGAACCAAAGCATTCTTCAAGGCTCCTCCTGGGTTACGAGATCCTCTGCTAGTCCCACTTTTACCTTATTCCTGTCACCTAATTTAATGAATTCAAATTTCACTAGTTCACCTAATTTCATTCGAATGTTTTGTAGATATTCCTGCTAGCATTATCATGAACACCACTGCCATTCTTTCAACAGACTCTGATGTTCACAATCGAATTCCCACCACAAAACTGTGACATTAGGAAACACAGAATTGTTGAAACAGCCATACGATGTGTGTAAATTTAAGATTAAACACAGCTTACTCTTTACAGATGAGGACGGTGTTGCTGCGGCACAGGTAGCCCGTGTACTTGGCACCTGCCAGGTAAGCCATCAACTTGAGGTCGTCTCTGTCACTGTCGACAAATCCAGTCACAGAAATAATCTAAGGGAAAAAAGAGCAAATGAGGTCAAAATACAATGACTATTTAACCCAGTTAATACAACTCTCTCTTCTACATTTTAGTTGTTTTATACAGACATGTATATTTTCATCCTTTCTTCGGCAATAGAGGAGATATTTAGTAAAATCATTCCTAAGAATGTCAAGACCAGAATTTTGTTAATGGTAAAAACGTTACATGGTCATCATGGAGGGGGAGAAAAATGAACATGAGATACCAAATAAGGGAAAACCTTTCTGTCAACGTGACATTGTTCAAATAATTTTAAGCAAGTTATTTTATTAAGCACATAAATATCAGTCAGTTCTTTACTCTACTTACTGATCCCAACTTTGAGATCATTTGAGAGCTACTGATAAAGTTCTGCCCAACTGTGGCCACCTCTGATGCGAGACACCCAACTTATTTTAGGCTGTTAAACAGTGTCAAAGACTTTGGTGAATCATTTAAACGTCCACTATGTGCGGGGAAGTGTGCCTGTTCCAGGGGCACAGGGCACTCATGAGCCGGGCCAGACACCGGGGCGGGAGCCAGGGAGGGAGGGCAGCCGGCATGTGGGGACTGCCAGAGGAGGACCACCCAGCAGACAAACGATGGGCCTCACGTGCTGGGAACACGGCTTTCCTCCTGGGGGGAACGCCACGGGGAAGTGGAGGGCGCGATGAGGAGGCACCATCTTCTTCCTCTTCAAGACGGCGTTTAACCAGTGTGCCGTGACACACCTCTTCCTCTCCCGTATTGCCTACCAAACAGAAATTACAGCTGTGTTGTTTTTGTTTTTTTTTAACTGCAGGATTAAATACAAAATTTTAAGTCGTATAACTACAATGCCACCTTTATTGGAAGCCCTACAAAAATTTCATGACGTTTAGCACTCACTTTACTAGAGTAACAAACTACAAAGTGGAGCCAGTTGATTTTAACACAAGCTGAAAGTGTTACTATGTACACAGGAACAAGAGCCTGCGATGGGGGATAAAAGCAACAGACTCTAACAAACTTCAAAATAACTAATCACAAAATGAGATAACATTGATGATCATCAAAATTAAAATTCCCCCATAAGAACAGAGGGCCCCACAGACCACAAGTTATGAAAAAATATAACTGCCCACCGAAAATCAACGAGTGTCACCTCACTAGTATTTCTACATTTTTTGCTGAAAAGTGGATTCAGTAAATGGCTATACTCTTTAAGGAGTTTCCTGGAGGTCACCTACCACACACACATTACCATTACTCTGTCTACAAATAAGAACATTTTCAAGAAAAGAGAAGAAACAAAACTTCAGGGGATAAGACAAGGTGGCCCAGATTAGCAAGCTCACACCCCGCGGGCTGCGCAGAAGCTCTGTGAGGCACTCGTCCCACCAGGCCCTTGCGTCCCGAGTCCCACAATGGGAGGAAAGCCTGCTTCCACCCACCCTTTACTTGCTGCTGCCTTCGATCTAAGGGGAAGGAGTGTCTGTGCTTTCCTTAGCGCTACTTGGGGATTTCTTTCTCCTCCATTGCTCAAAGACATAAAAGCCTAGAGTCCAAAGGATGTCTATCCCACTGAAGATCAATGAAAATTAGTAAGAAGCAACTCTCCTATTTTCACAAGTAGAAAAAAGTCCTTTCAAAATACACAAATTACTAGAATCCTACAATGGCCCATAAACAGGGGCAGACTGCTCCAGCCCCGGCTGAGGCCACGTGACTCACCTGTGCGTACATTCCACTGACTTGGCTCTCACAGAGAAGGTGTGTGCACCGACTGGAGAAGGCAGGGTCCACAGCGCCGCCGTGCGCCTGGATGATCTAGACACACACGACAGCAAAGCATCACTGACTCTGAGCGCTCAGGAGAATGGAGCAGAATTGTAATTTCAAATAAGGCAGCAATTAAAAGAAACCATCATATATTTATGTAGTATATTTCCCCAAAGTATAAACGATATGTATCAGTTACATTTATGGACTTTTCCACCCAGCACCATAAAATGAAAATGAACTCTAACACTCATTTAATCTGAATTTCCAGAAGGAAAGAGAAGAAAAACGGAATGTTCTCTTTCCAGGACAGGGTTTCTCAACCTGGCATTACTGACATTTCAGACCAGCTAATTCTGTGTTGTGGGGGGCTGCCCACCGCGTCAAATGATGTTGGCGGCACCCCTGCCCTCTACCCACTAGATGCCAACAGCATTCTCCCATTGTGACAACTAAAAACGTCTCCCGACACTGCCCATGTCCCCCGCAGGCAGAATCGCACTGGTGAGAGCCATTATTCTAAAAGCAAAACAACAGCACAGCAGATTGAGGCTAGCAAATCTGAAAAACTTACTTTTAAAAATAGATTCCGCTTTCTGGGGTGAGGGAACTGATATGTGTCTTGACTGTGGTGGTTGCATGCCTACATGGCATTAGTGGCATTTGCAAAATTCAAAAAAATGTGTTCCAAAAAAGGGAGTATTTTACTGTATGTTAAAAAAGATCTTCCTCACAAAATGGTTCTGCTTCACTTACTACTTTTTAAATTTAATTTTATGTTAATTATAGTGAGTCATAAACACAGTTTAATAAGGCATATGACAAAAACAGCAGTTTCCTCTCCCACTTGTTTTCCATCCCCGCGAAGAAACCACATTCAGTCTTTCACTAACTCCTCTGATAATTACTAACACACTCTAAGACATTTTATACTATGCCTTTGTTTTCCAGTTTCATATGTTATCTACCAACCTCCTACTACATAGGGCACATGGACACACACACACACACACTCACACACTCTCCGAGAGCTCCTAATTGGGTTACATCACAATTCTTGTTTGAATCAGTCTTTGGGATTTAACACAGTGTAGCTCAGCCACTGGGATTAAGATGGCACACTGGACTAAAGTTCCTTTCTTGTACAAAATTTGTTTTCCCTGATGTTGACTGCTTTATTCCCCACCCTCCCGCCTATCTTTTTCTTAGTGTTCTACAAAACCTTCGCCATTTCATTCCCAAACTTTTCAAAGCAATGTCATGTGTTGGTTTAAAAACATCTCCACAAATCCTCTGACACTCCTCCCTTTAAGAGTCGGAGCTTCAGTCCCCTCACCCTGAGTATGGACGAGACACAGAATACGGTGGAACTGACAGCGTGTGGCTTCCTCCCGGCTCTGCCTCGGGCCCCGCACCTGGGGGAAGCCGGTGCCACGTTGTGAGGATGCTCAAGCAGCCCTATGGAGAGGCCCTGTGGGGAGAAGCTGAGGCCTCCCGCCAACAGCCGTGAAGAGCGCCATACTGAAGTGGCTCCTGCAGCCCAGTCAGCTCTTTACACGAGGAAGCCCCAGCGCCATCCTGACTGCAACCTCATGAGAGTGCCTGAGCCTCAGCCACCCTGCTAAGCCACTTCAGGATTTCCAACCCACAATGAGACTGTGAGATGATGCTTGGTGTTTTAAGTTACCAAGTTCTGGGGGCCTCTTACACAACGATAGGAAATGAATCTAGTCCATCGGTACATTAGAGCGTATCCAGTAATCTACTAATGTCATTTTTAACTTGCGTGTCCCTCCTGGAACTCTGTCTTCCTGTCCTAACTTTGGCCGGTCAACCTCTAGTCCTATTTTCACGTGTATCTGGCATTTCGCTTTGCCTTCAACCTAAGAATTCCCTTCCATCTCTGTGTCAGAGCCCCCACTCTTGACTCCCACATCTTCCTCTTTGCTGGTCCAGTGGCTTCCTAAGAATGAGCACATGGGAGGTACATGTTTTGACTGTGGAACCCTGAAAATATCTATTCCAAGTCTTATCTGATTGACAGACTAGACACATTATCTAGGTTGGGAATTACTTCCCTCAGAATCGTGAAGACCTTGCTTGACAGTCTTCTAGCTCCACGTCTGAGACGCCGACACTCCCCGTTCCTGACCTGTGACCCTCCTCCTTGCTACCGAGCTTCAACCAGCTCTCTCACACGTTCTCAACTTTCACGACTGCCATAACCATGCTTATCATTCCTTTCAATCCAGGGACGCACGTGCTTCAGTTGTAAGCTATTTTCTTTAATAATTTTCTTGCCTTCATTTCCTTTGGTCCTCAACTTCTATTTTTTAATGACAGACCCGCTGGACTAATGCTATAACTTAAAAAAACACAATCAAAATCACTTTAAATTTCTGCTGCTGTAATTGTGAAGCAGGCCCCTCACTCTCCGTCCTCCAGCCACTGCCCTAGCTCAGGTTATTGGCATCTCCCAACTGGCTTACAACCTAGTCATTTCCCTGCTCTCCCTTAATTCAACATTTCGTGATTTAAGATGTACAGCTCCCCCGTTCCATATGCTTTAAAGACTTTGGGGAGAAAACTCCAATGTCCATAACATGGCATATAAATGAGCTCTTAGAAGACACAGCCTGGCCTTTCCCCGACCCCCCACCTCCTGGACCCCCAAGGATGTGTGTCTTCCCTCTGCCCCCAGCCCTTTCTGCAACCATATGTCTTTGCCTATGCTGCTCTCTACCTGGGACACCTTCCCCTAACTCTTACTCTCACTTGTCCTTTAAGATGGAGTTCAGAAGATCTTCCTTCACACACCCGCCTCCGCCAACCCAACGGGTTAATGTCTTTTCTCAGGGCTCTCCCTGCACCTATTTCCTGCCTCATCATCTGTGCATGTGGCTCTTTCTCCAACTGGTTCACAGGTTTCTCAGTCTCATTTATCCATCAATATTCCCCAGGTCTTCCAGCACGCCTGGCACACAAGCAGGGTTTAAACACCAGCGACGCTTATAAGGAAGCACACTCAAGATGCATTCAAAGCGCATGTAAACTCATTAAAACAAAAATTGACTCAGTTTTGATTGGGACATTATAAGAAAAAGTGTTTACTTTTTCTTTAAGGGCCATCATGCAAAATAATAAATGAACAAACGGACTACAGTTCCCCAAGTGAACTAGAAGACGCTGAGGCCCCTTCCAATCTGGAGAGTCCCTAATTTCTAACACTCGCCTCTGGAGAGACAGAGGTGATAAAGCAGTCAGGTCGATGGTCCCTATCCTAGGTCACCAAAAACCTGAACTTATTCCCACACTCCCAGTTATATACAAATAATTCGTGTCCCTCAGAATCTCAGAGCTGAAAAGAACCTTAAGAATGATAAACAATTTTCCCCTTACAGCTTAGAGAACTGAAGCCCAGAAAAATGATGCGACTCGGTCACAGAGAAAGTGTCAATAAAGATGCCCACATACATTCAGAACACACAGATCTGTATCTCAGTGGAGGCAGCCAAATGAACAAAGCCAAGTCTACGTTCAGAAAGGAAAATCTTCAAATGCAAAGTTTTCTTCTTCCAGGCACAACCTCACCCTTTTCCAGGTGGCCAGCAGCTGCTTATCAGACATCTGCTCTGGATAATCCGCGATTGCAAACACACATCCCAGTAGGAAGCCTTCTTCTGGAACTAGAATAGAATTATACAAGGAAAAGAAAATTAAAACCCCATGAATATGTGCACACAAAAAATAACACAGCTCATTTTGCTGAGTTCAATCTGAATTTATGAACTTAATCACTCCTGACCATGACTTTCCAGCAGCAGTCTGAGTACATCTGGGATAGTGCGAGACATACTGGCTTGACTGTCTATATAAAATGATTAAAAAGTGAAACCGACAGTTTCTGCCTGGGCACTGAGCACTGGGTGTTGGTCCTTGTGGCAGACCGACATTCTCTGGACACCAGCGTTCACTTCAGGGCACGGTGTCCCATGTACCAAAGAACATGTGACTATTCATTATTCTAACTACATCCTTGTTAGGTAGGAGATGCACGTTTCCTCAGTTGTGAGAATTAGTTTGACATGAATTCTTACCCTACCCTCAAACACTCTCAAAGCACTTATGTAAGTACACGACGTTTAGGAGAGAGAAAGAAAAAATCCACGTTACTAACTCTCCACTGCTGGGTCGTGTCCAAAAAGCTGGTGCTGCGGCAGCGGCGGCTGCGGGTGCGGGGGCTGCGCGGGCGCAGCTGGATGCTGCAGCCCAGGCGTCTGACTCAGATGCTGCGCCGTCTGAGTTTGCATGTGCTGCTGCTGCTGCTGCTGCTGGTGCAGACGCTGCTGCTGCTGGAGAAGGCTGTGCTGCTGCTGCAGCAGGCTGTGCTGCTGCTGCTGTAACTGTGCGAGTTGTTGCTGCTGCAGCTGCTGTTGCTGCAGCTGATGCAACTGTTGCTGCAGGGCATGCTGCTGCTGCAGGGGCTGGAGCTGCTGCTGAGGACGGTGCAGCTGCTGCTGAGCATGCAGCTGCTGCTGCGGAAACGGCAGCTGCTGCTGTGGGAACTGATGCTGATGGACTTGCTGCTGCTGTGGGAATGGATGCGACTGCTGCTGGGGGTAAGGCTGCTGAGAAATCTGCGGCTGCTGCTGCTGGAGCTGCATGATCTGCTGGGGTGGAAGGTGCAGAACTGGGTGCTGCTGTGTCTGGGGCGGATGCTGCTGTTGTGGCAGATGTGGCTCTGGCGTCACTTTCACTTGGCCGAACAAGACTGCATTGGCATTTGCATGGCCCTGCTGGCTGTGATTCACCTGCTGTTCTAAATTTTTTGTAGGTGCTGAAAGGGACTGTAAGATCTAGAAAATGAAAATTAGGTAAAGTCATTACCAATGGTTACTAAAATGTACTAATATTCTCTTAAGAGAATAATAGTATGTCCTACCTGTTTAATATTCAACTGAATGAGAAGCATCAAACAATTGGAAGCTTCAAAAACAATACCGCATTTTTTTTGGTATTCATTAAGCACGAACTTTAATAAAGCAAATATATATTTTGAGACCACCAAAATTTGAAACTGAATAAGGAAAATAGAATAAGCTAATGAATTAAAGTTGACAAACATAAACACTCATATGGCTGATGTGTTTTATAGAACGCAGAGTGACAAGGCAGCAAAAAAAAAAAGAAGTGTTCTGTCCTATGTACTTCTCGGGCTGTGGGCGCCAGAGGCTGTGCTCCACCTGCAATGTTCTGCCGTGCGCAGGGCCTCTCTGGTGCCCCTCCCCGTCCTGTCCTCTCCACAGACCTTCTCCTAAGTGAGGGATGCTCCAGGAATGACAGGCAGGGAGGGCACCCAGCAGCCTAAGCCAAGCCCCCGTTCTACAGATGCCATTTCCTGACAAAGAAAGGGGTCCAGGGAGAGGTGAGCACCAAGAGCACCTGCAAGTGAAAGCACTGGACCAAGCTGCCCCAGACAGCAGCCGGCCCCATGAGAGCCACCAGCCTCTGCTCCTCTGCACGCCCTGCGCTGTGTCCTGGCACACTCCATACATGAGGGACAGAGAAGACACCAACCATGGGTTTCTTCAACACTCTCCCAAGGGAGAAACCATGAGTACAGCTGGTAAATCAGCTTCCTCAAAAATGACTTGGAGCTCTTTAGATGGGACAAAAATGTCTCAGGCTAGAGGAAAGCCTACTGGCCAGACTATTTCCCTTCTAGTTCATTCTGCTTCACAAGGATGGAAGTAAGCTGACAGCTTTGTATAAGCTGAGGGGTGGGAGGGGACAGGACAAGGGATTAAGAGGTACCACCAAGTCGAGCATCAGATTGCAAGCTGCTTTATTAGCTTACACAGGGCTGAACCAAACGAAACATGTTATACAATGAATTTTTCCAAAATGCTCAAATGACAAAAATTGGAAGCCAACTTCCTACGGTCTTGGGAACCTGTAACAGTCAAATGGATTTTACTAAAACTCAGTCAATACGACTTAACACTATTAAAAGCATACTTGTCATTTAAATAAAACTCTAAAATTTAATTTTAACATAAACCAGAGTTATATGAAAATCTCAAATATGTTTTTAACATATATCTCCCACTTAGTCTCCAAAACATAAAGGTTATATAATTCGCTAGGGGTAACAGACTTTGGATTTAGTGATGAAACGAGTTTAAAATTGAAGTCAGTCAAACTCAAGAGCTTGGGTACACCAGTCTTTGACATCTTCTTATAGATAAGACACCTCTATAAGGAGATTCAAGAACTCCTCAGTTGAGCTCTAAGCAAAAAGAAATTTTTTTAACCAATTTTTAAATCATAAAGTAACTGTTTCTTCTCTATGCTTAAAAGTACTAAAAAGTACCCAGGAAAGTGGAAGGGGAAATTCATCCCTCCACACACGATGCCCACGTAGCAGAACAGCATTTGGGATGCTGACATGCCCAGAAAAAAGCAGGGGGCGGGGAGGAGGACACCTGCTGGTGGGTATGTCCGTCAGCCATGGGCCCACACACATGAAACTCATGCGAACAGTGGCTGCCTCTGGAAAGAAACCAGAGTTAGGGGTGGGGCGGAGTTTAACATCACTTCATAGCCTTCAGTATCACGGAATCTTTTTATTTCATACACATATTATTTTTTGACCCTGAGGAGTAAACAACCCACGTAAATTTGATGGGCAATAAGGAAATAAATGCCCGTCTGCCATAACAAACAGGGCTGAGCCAGCTGTTTGCCACGAGCTGCTCCCCTTGCACCCCCAGCCCAGATCAAAGGGGAGGTCTGGAAAGTCTGAAGGACCTTCACACACAAGGGGAGTTTATGTTAGGAGGGCCAGTGGGAACGCCTGAGGCCAGAGGGTGTTCCTCGCAGCTCTCATTGCTCCGAGTTGCCAGGAGGACTCACTGGGTTTGCCTTCTTTATGAGTGACCACAACTGGAGGGGCTGAGGGAGGCCAGGGTGTGACAGGAGGGCCACTTGGAGCAGATGAAGATTCAAGATCAGAGCCCCAGCCAGGAATGAAAATGGACCTTGGCCTAGAAAGTCATGCACCTGGCAGGCCAGTGTGGGTCTGAAGGCACAGGCCTAGCTGGGGAGCAGGCACCTTGGAGGACCAGCCATTGAGATGCCTCTTAAAACAGCTTCTGTACTCATCAGATGGCTTTTTCAACCCTCTGAACTGCCTCAGGTTGAAAACATACGTTAGTCCTGAAGAATCAAGAAAAACATTCTTAATTACTTGATCACATAATTTGCCATACTGCAAACAACAATTTTTTCTTTTTCTTTTTTTTTTATAAGAAGATTGGCCCTGAGCTAACATCTGTGCCAATCTTCCTTCACTTTGCATGTGAGATGCCACCACAGCATGGCCCAATGAGTGGTGCATAGGTCCGCGCCCAGGATCTGAACCCGCAAACCCTGGCACGCCAAAGTAGAGCACACGAACCCAACCACTACACCACCGGGCCAGCCCACAAACAACAATTTTTCCTGAATGTCAAGTGTGAATTTTTCCTTTGTGGCTGTCACAGCCCTTATTTAAATTACTTAACAATGAGGGCCACAATATACAAAGCATTGATACACACTACATGGCTCCTAACCACTAACAGTCTACGATTCAAACAGGATTTTGATGGCTAGCTATGTTTCCCCAAACCCCTAAGCTAATTTTAGACTCAATTTGTCTCATAGTCTTAACATTTCAAAAATTCATTTTCTTCACATCTAGCAGCAAAATGTCCTAATGTTCTTACATTGCTGGAAAACTGAGAAAATCTCTTCACCACTGTTCCCGTTAGTGATCAGATCCATTCTCTCACTAGAGCTGGATGGAGCCTTCCCAGTTTCCACCTCTAGAGCCCACAGCTGAGTGGATCAAGTTCGTCTTCTAAGGATGTCTTACCTGCAGGACAATTTCAAAAGCAGAGATGTGCCCAAACTCCCGGGGGTAGTCACTTATTTCCATTGCAAATGAGAATATTTTATCTTTATATCCAAATACAGTCACGCGTCACTTAACGCCAGGGACATGTTCTGAGAAAAGCATCGTCAGACGATGTGGTCCGTGTGAGAACACCACAGCGTGCACTTGCACAAAGCCAGGTGGTACAGCCTGCTACACACCTAGGCTCTACGGTACTAATCTTACGGGACCACCATCGTATATGCGCTCCATCATTGACCAAAACATCGTTAAGCAGCACATGACAGTACCAACGTAGGAAATGGGATTTAAGCCAATACCCACTGTATCTGAAAAATATAGAATGTATAGAAATGACCAGTAATTGATCAACAGTACTTTCTACACTGCCAATACATAAAGAGCAAAGAACATTGCCATTCTATTTTAATGGATGACATCCATTCATAATTCCTCAACTAAACAAAGGAAGAAAACAGCATTTCTTGAGCTGCCAGTCTTTGCATGTTAGTTCATTCCACTCTCACATCAACCCTGTGAGACCCATCTCAGTGGACGCCTCACACCTCCCCTGCCAGCCAGACAAGGCCACCCGGATGCTCCAGGTCCCCGCCCAGAACTGGCTCACCTCCCAGCCTCCCCACCTCAGTGACACCACCTCTAATTTCTAATTTCTTCCCCAATCTTTACCTCCAGCCTGTCATCCTGACTCTTCTTTCCCACCCTCCCTAAGTCCTCTGGTTTCCAGCAGGACTTTGTGACCATTACCTCTGCTGTCCCCTACAGCCCACTGCTGTGCTGGGACTTCGCTTTGTGGCTTTTCTACCCACTGCCCTTTCTGGGTGCTGAGGTCCATGGACCCCCAAGCACTGAGGTTCTGTGACTCCACGTGAGCATGGACACCATCTGGACACACCTGGCCTGCTGGTCTTTGACTGCCTCATCTCAGAGACCTCTTCTCCGTTCCCAGTCACCCTTCAGACCGTAGTGCGTGACAAACTCAAATTTACCTCCAGGGCCCCGGCAGGCAGTAACAAGTGCAATGAGACAGAGGGAATGCCGACGGGGTGTGGGAATTGAGCACACAGAAGGAGCCGCATTTCAAAGGAGGCAACTGCTGCTCAGCCACGAAGAACTGTCACCATTCAGACTTTAGAATATCTGCTCAGGGTTTTACTACAGCATCCACTTCTCAAGATAGGCCAGAAACCCCATTTTTATGGAGAATCTCAAGATTCTGGCAAATAAATCTAACTTAAAAAAATTATCTGGATCAAACTAAAGGCATCAGGCAGAATGTGACCTCTCAGTTACTGGGGTGCAAACTTGCTCCCCGTCTTTCCTCACCCACAGCCACTGCACCTCCAGGACTGCTCTGCCTGTGCACGTGCCTCCTCCGACCACCTCGCTTTTCCTTCCAGGATGTCCACTCCATTGAGACTAGTCTCCATTGCCCCGGCCCCGTCACCCTCCTGGCTGGATTAGATTCCACTTTAGTGGCTCTTGCTAATACACTAAGCTTTGGTCACCAACCTAGACTGGGTCCTAACAGGTCCAGAAGTACTGTCTTCCCAGAATCTCTGTACCAACTATTTCAAAATCTCCATCCTCCTCAAATCCCTGATGACCTTCCCTCTCATCTCTGACACTCTACCCATCTTGCCTCACTCTCTCTCAATTTTCTTCTACTGTCTAAAGGATGTGTTTCCTTCTCCCTTACTCTGGATACCAACCCCCTCCAGCGTCTCAAGAACCTTGACTATCAATTATTCACCGCTTAACCCAAGGGAGGGAGGGAAGGAAGAACATGTTTTATGCATCTCTAACCAATAAGGACTTTTCAAAACCACTAACATTATGATACTCAACTGTTATACTGTTATTTCTAACAAGAAATATGCATTTGGTTACCCCTACTAGCCCCCCGCCAGTGGCTTCCTTGGGAGAAAGTGTGTGCTCCTCACCTTTAGGACGAGGCCTCTTCAGGCCCTCCTAGCACCCACCCACGCACCTCACTAAGTTCAATCTTACTGGCTGGCTTTCTCAGAGCACAGCACATCCATGCCTGCTTTTGAGTCTTCACAGTTGCTGTTCCTTTCACCTGGAAATCTCTCCCTCAGTTGTTCCCATGGCTTCCTTGTCACTCACCCCTGACTTAAGTCACCTCCTTCATGAGGCCCTCCCTGACCACCGAACCTACAAGAACCTCTTCCCCCAACTGCTATCACACGACCCCTTCTTACTGTCTTCAAAACACCTGTACCCGTCACAAGCCCTTCTGTTCACATTTGTCTGCTCACTACCTCTCCAACTAAGACAACAGTAGGGGACTGATTGCTCTCATTTATCATTGTGTCTCCTGTGCCCACAAAAATGAAAACAGTGGTCAATGTACCACAACCACCTTCTTTCTGTCTTAAATTGAAAAACATCTACTAAAACTTTTAAGGTCCATTCTGTATCAACAAGCTCCAATCGTAAAACCGTAAATTGAAATTAAGGCTTCTTCACATTAATTTGTGTTATGCTATCATCTACCATGAAGTTCATTAGAAACAAATAAGGAAAAGCTGGTAAACTTCAATCTTCTCTTGATGCCCCTGCTAATTTTAAACAAAGTAAGAGGGGGAAACTTCTTTAATTAGGGAGAGCGCTCCATCACTGGTATCCTGGTTCTACTGGGCAATGTGAGGTCTTCAACCTCAATGCATGCTGCCACCCTTTTATGACAGAATTTGTGACACATATAAAAGACTGTAAAACAAGTTCTCACGCAAGTAAATACTGCTTGTAAGTCAACTGTTCTGAAGAATCAGAAAACAATAAACTATACTGAAATAGACTGGAAAATCCAATATCTAAATTTTTGTTTTTTAAAGAGTGACTTACATGTGCTACGTTTGACGGTCGGTTAATTTGCTGAATGTCAGCATTATTAGTAATGTTTCTTAATGTCCGCGCGGCTGGACTCCAAGCAGCTATCATTTCTGATCTCTCGGAATTTTGGAGATTTTGTCCCGAAGCTATTAAGTGACCCCGGACCTCAGGCGGTAAGATGCTGCCTGGGACCGGCGGCACATTGGCACACAAGTTAATTAAGCCGGGCTCCTTCCCGGGCGGCAGTCTGCGCTTTGCTGCAGCTAACTGTGGGACCTCAGCTGGGGTCCAGTTTAGATTTCTCTCCTGCTTTTCAGGTGATGAGTCTGAAGAATCATCAAACATCAGTTCCCCTTTAGATTTCTCGGCGTTCGACTTGGGTGAAAATTGCTGCTCGCCTGAAGGAGAGCCTTCTTGAGAACTGGCAGGGCTCGACTTTTCATCTGTACTGCCCTCATTTGGGGAATCTTGTTCCTCATTTTCTACCTCTTCCTCCTCCTCTTCTTCCTCTTCCTCCTCTTCATAAATTATTAGACGAGGATGATAAAATGCTTCATCTTTTTTGGTTTTCTCCGATATGCAATCCAGGACCCAGTCGGGAGTCACAATTTTAATACTTGATCTCTTTAAAGCACACTCGTATTTCTCCTACAAGTAAAGCACAAACACACACAGAAACAAAGCTGTGAGTTTTATCAGCTTCCTAGAATTGTGCATCATACAAAGAACTCTGGGAGAGGGGTACAACGGAAACATTCAGCACCCACTACTGCCATCTGACACACAGGGAAAGCTTACGCTCCTTTAGATGGATGCTCTTACACCTGCAATAGTAGCCTTAAAAGATTTTGTTTAAATGAACTATTATAAATGATATTTTAGATACAAAAGTAGGGCCAGGAATCCTATGGAAAACTCTATGAATGAAATGAGTAACTGCCACCTAATCTAGTGTTTGTTTGTTGACAATGTGTACAGAGCTCTAATTGTGGGTCCGGGCACCTTTAGGACATCAGAGACAGTCACCAGGGGGCTGACCACTCATGGGAATGCCTTCTTAACCAGTTATCTGGGGTTTATCGAGCTCCTTCCACATGAGACACAACGGATGCAACCAGTCTCTGACCTAATAAGGTTCACAACTTAGTTCTGAAGAGAAATTAAATAGGCAGTGAGAATACAATATAAACCAGCACTAAGCGACAGGGGCATGTGGGCAGAAAAGGTTCTACCAGTGAGTTCAACACTCAGGGACGCCCACCTACAGGTGAGGTCCGGCTGGGTGTGAGTGGTGACGACTGGAGGGCACACCAGAAAAGGCACACTTGGAGCACCAGGCCAGGAGTGCTGACAGGCAGGGGGCTCTCCAACTGGTAAGGGCGGAAAGAGGAATGTGCCAAAGAAAAAAGGAAATAATGGAAAACTTCAAATAAGGGTAATATGATAAACTAGCTTTAGAATGAATGAGTTTGGAAATACGGTTCAGTTAACTCCTAGAATCTCCCCCATCTGCTTCTCAAGCCCCGGAGGACACCGATTCTCTACAAACATGTCTCGGGGCCACACTACAAGCCCCGTCCCATCGTGGAGACGGAGGCGGTGCGTGCTTGGCCGGAGAAGCTGCACCAGCGGCAGCAGAACCGAGGACGCTCGGCCATCAGCCTCTGTGGAGGACCTGGTGCTGAGCCCGGACACAACACAAAGCTGGAACCCCTCTCCTGGGAAAGAGGAAGGCCCACACTAGCGAAGGGATTTAACTGTGTGTTACTTTTGAGGATGTTCAAGCTTAAACCTATTTAAAACACAAGTAAAACTCAGTCATGGGCAAACACATGAATAAAAAGCAAAGCAAAAGAAAAATGAATGTGATCATAACCACACCGATTACATTTTTAGTGTACAGTTTTAATTGTTTTTGTTATAAATATATATGTACATATATTAAAAGCTGAAGGGAGGAAGCATATTGTCACAGTGTACAAATACTTCATAATGTGCTGTTTTCCACTTAATATATCGTGAACAATCTCCGACGTCAATATGTACACTTTTATGCAGGCACTTTTGCTTTTAACTTCTTTAATGTAATTTTCTACAATACTCCAAAGTAGAGTCGTGAAATAAATCTCTCCACCTATCACCCAGCTTCAATAACTGGCAACTTCTTGAAATCGTGCTTCATCCATCTCTTCCACGACTTTGTCTACGCATCTTTAACTGATAAACTACATTACGAAATCCACTACAGCTGTCAATACTATCTCATACCCAGGACTTACTCAAATTTCCCCAAGTTTCAAAACTCATTTTACAGTTGCACACAGTTTTTTGGGGGTTTTATTTTGCTGAGGAAGATTAGCCCTGAGGTAACATCTGTGCCAATCTTCCTCTACTTTGTATGTGGGAGGCCGCCACAGCATCGCTGACAAGTGGTGTAGGTCCACGTCCAGGATCCAAACCCACAAACCCAGGCTGCCAAAGTGGAGCGCACCAAACTTAACACACCATGGGGCTGGCGCCTGCACACAGTACTTTTAACATAAGCCTACTATTCTGTTGGGTAGTTGCATAAATTAGGAAATCCCCTGGTGTCAGGGATTATTATTTAGTTATTTCTAGTGTTACACTTATTATAGTTATTTCTAGTGTTTATTCACTGTTTTGCTACTATGAAAAATTGCAGGAGATCTTTACACACATCCTAAATTGTTTACATACAATAAATTCTTAGGTTTTGGTGTTCAAGTATGAAAAATTCTCTAGGACTTCATATCTATAATTACACTTCCCTCCAAAAAAGGCTGTATCTATGATATAGCCTATGATACACACCTATGTAGGAGTATATCAATTTACCACACCCTTGAGAAAAAAATTTTTTATTCCTTATTCTAAAAATCATGTTATTGTGACATATTTAAGTATGGAATGTTACACACACCCTCCCACAGTAAATACAGACAATCACTTTCTGCAGCTGACTAGAGACTTTCAGTGACCGGACCACGCGGCCCAGAAGAGTCCAGAGCTCTCTCAGGAAACACACAGCCCAGGTGCACACTGAAGTACTTACAAACTAAACAAATATTGCAAATATACAACATGGGCAAATAACATACATTTAATATGGTTTATATATTATTTCCCAAAGTAGGAAGATGCTTATTGAAATAAATATGAAATAAAGTGTTTTTTAATTCTGTTAAATACTAAAAATAAAACCAGTACCATGAAGCAGAGTTGCTGAACATTCTGGATGTTAGAAAGAGCACTTCATACTTAAAGAGCTGGATCCACCGTGGACGAGTCCTGAGTTCTCCCCTTGTACAGGGTTCTGGCATTCCACGCTCCAGGAGCGACCTACTTCCCACACAAGTCTACGTACAACACTTCAGCAAACTGAAGTCCACTCAGATTTTCTCTCACTTCTCACCAGTAAGTGTTTTTTGTCACTGAAGGACAATTACTGCTTAAACAAGGTGACTGAAGAGCAAAGCAACGTTAAATGCCTTTGCCTGCGCTAATTTACCAGCTATGTTATTCTAACTCTGAAATCCTCAAAACTATCAATTATTAAACGTCACAGACCTCAGGAGTCAAAGTGAAGTGGCATGGGGTCAGGGTGTGGCCAGCAGGGGGCCAGGGCTGGCCCATGCCGCCCATCTCTCCCAGCCTTGCCCTCAGCCCCAGGGGCAGTATTCACACCCAGAAATCTCCAAGTGCTACATCCAGCCCCTTTCCCTCAATAACTAGGAAGTACATTTCGTTTCTGTTGATTCTGTTACTAACTCCTCCATTCTTCTCAACTTAAATTAAAACTTTAAAATTCAAGAATATAAAAGTTTCACTATGCCATTTACACATTTTCCCTAAGAATTCATCAAAAAAATGCAAGAAAAGAATTTAAAGAGATGCCATTTATGTTGTGTGTAGTCAGCTAGTCTGTTTGACAAATCCACTCTAGTCATATGCCTCTGAAATTATAATTTGCCTCTAAGTATTCACTCATAGGTACAAGATTTATACAAGATTCCATTTCTCTTCAAACTAGCTACCTAAAATCTAATGATTTATTTTTAGCCACAAATCAATACTGATATATAAAGAACCCCTACACTATTTAACCAAAGCATACTATTTATCTCTTAAATTGTTACGCAAAATGTAATTTTTTACTTACATAGATTTTAAGATTCACTACTTAAATTTTCACAGAAAAGTTTCTTCTTGGACTGAGAGGTTTACTACGTTACAATCAAATCCACTGGCTCACAACTTCTCCCCCTGTCAGCAGACTGGCATGACGAGGAGCACACATTCGTGAGTGCCCCTGCTTAGTTTCAAAGACCCCATGAAAGGGTCCTCTGGGCAGTGTACGACTGTTCCAGCCCTCCACTCTCCACCCTCCGCCAGGGTCGTGGGGACATCCACCACACACCTCTCTCCTCCTGCTGTGAGTCAGCACACTCAGACGAAATAAGATAATGACAATGTAGACTCAGATTGAAGACAGTAAGAAAAAAATGGAGGCAATGACTAATATGTGGGAAAAGTAATCATCAAAAAACTCTTCTACTATAAATATACTATATCTGATTCTCAAAGATGCAAATAATTGTTCATGGAAGGAAAACAGTTTGATTTCCAGAGAACAGTAATTCTCAAACATTAGTGTGTGTCCTAATCGCTGGGAGGCCTTGACACGGATGCCTGGGCTCCCTGCTTCCCCCACCTGGTTCTGATTTACTAGGTCTGGGGCGGGCCGGACAGTGTGCACTTCTCACAAGTCCCCAAGGGAGGCTAATGCTGCTGACATGGGGATCCCACTTGGGGACCAAAATCCCTCCGGCCCCACCAGTGCTTCGAGGTATAGAGCCCTGGGCTTATCAAGATAAATGCAGTCTATATAGTCTACATTATTAAGAAGGAAACTATACTGAAAACTTCACCAAATGCATGTTTATAATTACACTCAGTACAAGGCCTTTTTAAAACTTGTGAAGAGGTCGATAGATACATATTTTCACAAATAAAAATGAACAGAAGTTGTACTGGACTTGAAAGGAAACTCTAGAAATTCAAAAAACTTTCCTATTTTCTCCATGAAATAAACCCCTATTTCTTTGTATTCAGAAGTCACATCTGACTCGAAATAAAATTTATAGGGGCCGGCCTGGTGGTGCAGTGGTTAAGTTCGCACACTCTGCTTTGGTAGCCAGGGTTCACAGGTTCAGATCCTGGGTGTGGACCTACACACCACTCATCAAGCCATGCTGTGGCGGCGTCCCACATACAAAATAGAGGAAGACTGGCACAGACGTCACCTCAGGGACAATCTTCCTCTCCAAAAAAATAAAATAGAATAAAACTTATAATCATCTCATATCCCTTGTGGAATGAAGCTGGGTATAAATAATGTAAACTAATATAATCGGCTTTTGTAAGTGGAATCTAATAATTAACTTAAAAGATGCTCAAAAAAGACATTTGATTACTGGAAATACTTAAATGACATAAAAAGGAGAATGTACATGAAACACTTACCCCCTTCGGTTCTGGAACAACCAAATGTGTGCACTTCCTGTTGAGGTTCAGCTGGCAATCCCCCCCATAGAAAGTAAGCAAAGCCCAGAGGGCACTTCTATCTCCAGATGACACCTGACAGAAAACCAGAAATCAGGCTTTTATCACACATTTCAATGTTTACTTATTTACTTCATTATTAAAATACATTGTGACAGTATAACAATTTTGCTTTATCTACTTTTCTCCCATATTAAATGAAATAACCTAAGGCTATTAGTGGGAAAAATAGATAAGCTTTTAGCTATTTGCTTATTACAATAAAAACTTTTATTCCTATAATAATAGTTTTATAGATATTACTTTTTTTTGCCTTGTCACCAAATGAATTAAAAGAAAATACTTATATCTACACTCCAAAGACTGAATGGAGGGTTGTTTCATTCTATAACAAAAATGATAGGGGGAAAAAAAAGCAGAAAGAACTAGTATACCATTCCAGTTTCCAATTGTGTCATTTTTGAAAATGCTTAAATACAACAGCAGTATCAAAATCATATTTAAGGAGTGCCTTAATCATTAGTGGATAACAAATAAATATTAATTATGAAATGCATAAAATGAAAAGATAAAAATACAGTGATTTGTAAGCTCTGGGAAAATGTAAATATTACTTAACACAAAGAAAGAAATAAGGCAAGCATAAAAGGATTAAATGTTATGCTTGCCTAGATGACAAAGTAAGGCTTCAGATACAATGGCTGATGTCACTATAACAACACACAGCTACCATTTATTGCCTGCCTACTATGTGCCAGGAACTGTGCCAAGTGCTTTGTGTCTGCTCTGAATCCTCATGACCGCCATGTGGAGTAGGCATCATAAGAACCAGTTTATAGATCAGGAAACAAACTTAGAAAAATTGTAGCTGATAATCAGAAAAGCTGGCTTTTATAAGCCAGGTCTGTCTAAACCCAGGTCTGACTCCTAACTGTATTTTCCAACCCCTCTACACTGCTTCTCTAAGGGCAGTTACTACCAAAAATAATGTCTAAAAAGTAAAATTTTAGACTCTGAAAGACAAGAAACATTTAAGAAAAATAAAGGTGTGAGTGTTAATTCTAAGATAATCATTTAACCAAGTGAATTTTTTGGTGGATAATTTACTACAAGTTGAGAATTATGGTGAAGAATTCTGGACTTTGTCTCAAGTTAATTTTTTAAAAGTATTGATAAACAGCATGTTTTTTTAACAGCCATTATTCAGCTTGCTAAAAACCTAACATTCCACATCTACTCTCATCCATTTTACACAGACTTCTAGACATTATTTTGCGCTCCACATTACTCTGTGAATGCTAACAAGAACACATTAATTTTATAAGATCACCTTTAAAAATTGTTATTTTATATCTCTTTAGTAAGTCAATGTCACATTTCAGAGGTTGGGTCAGAAGACTTATTTTTATTAGAGGCTTTCACAAAAACATTTACATCCTGCAGCCTTTGGAGAGCTGAGATTTATTATATGATCATTTGGATTACTCCAATGAATCATTACATAATCTTTATTAAAATGAAATTAAAAAACAATCTAGATACGCCTTTATTACAAAGATTTGGTCACACGTCAGCTGAGTGTTATTTTTATTTTACTGACTACAGTACCTATCTGGCCTGTGTCACAGACATGGGTCTCAACAGGGTGCCTGCCGTATGTTGCTGTGGAAAGAACATCAGAGAGGGAGGAGGGGAGTCCCAGAATTGACAGCGGATCTCCAAAAATGAGCTCATGTCAACTTGGAAAACGTCCACGAACGGGATTCTTCATCGATGTACATTTGGGTTAAATGACTTCAAACACACCTATCAACTAACGTAATGAATCTATATCAGCCTAATTAATAGTTAAGCATGCTCTTTCCACACCAAAATGTTTAACAATCATTACTTAGTGGTGACAGGATTACGGGGACATTTTTATTTTCATGTTTATACTTTTCTGTATTTTCCAAATTTTTAAGAGCATTAGTTTTATAACTGGGGAAAGTGCTTTTTCTTTTTTTTAAGCAATCTTTCTACGCTACAACTCTATCACCTCAGCTAGCAAAGCTTGGGATGCCTTAAAATCCACCTGACCTCTGGCTGCTGTCGGCCTCCCACTGCTCACTAGCACCACTCCCAGCATGCACCTGACCCTACGGTTTCAGGACACTCCCCAACCATGCTAAGCGTGCTGTGCTTCCTGGCCTCCATGCCCTCCCTCCCCCACCCCACTGCTCTACGCTGCAGCTCGGCTATCGCTGCCACTGTCCTCCCACAGCAGCTGCACAAAATCTAAAGGCTTACCACACTCCGTAACTGTGTGCGCATTGGTCTTTTCCCCCACTGTTCTCTAGGAACTTGAAGCAGAGGACTACAATTGCATCTGTCTCCCCCTGAATAAACGCTTCTCTTTACACCAATCAGGAACGCCCTCCCTCCTCCTCGAGGTCTCATATCTCCAATAAAACAGTCCTGGTTCTAGCTCACATGAATTTCTCCTTGTCCAGTCTTGATTATGGACTGTAAGCCTACTTATTAAAAACCAGAGTCTTCTGCAAGAATTACGTCTGAAACTTCTTTAATATATTTCATAGTACCTAGTACAGTGCAAGGCACATGGGTAGGCAGTCAAGAAATATTTATTGATTGAGATACAGAATGGAAAGGGCTTTTATTTTTAGGTCTTCCAGATTTAAATTATGACCCTGGCCAGGCTCTCCATCAGACTCTTGACCTAGTCCCCGAAACCTACCCAGCACATTACAACAGAGGCCTCAGCCTGCATCAATACCGGGTCAGAAGAAGGCAGATGATGGCTGTGCTTCCCAACTTCTGCTGGCACAAGCTCCCTTCCCTACCTCTCCCTGGACAGCTCTGGAAGACTCCAACAAAGAGCTCCAGCTTGTATCAACACCCTGACGGGGAAAAGACAGAAGGTCACTGAGAACCACCAAGCAAACAGTCCTTTCGTGAAGGTGGGGTCCTGCCTGGTGCATCCCTGTGCGTGCAGGTGCTCCAGTGTTCAGAAAGGGGCACAGACACCCAGAGCCTCCATTCGGCACAGGTTCACCCGGTGATCGCTCCCTCCCAGCATTATCTCCACACCTGGCACCCACTTTGTCTCTGTGCATGTTTCAACACACTGCGTTTGTTCACGCGTCTGTCCCCCTTTCTAGACTGTACGTTTACTGGGGGGGGAGAAATCCTATCTCAGTTCATTTGTACTCTGGCATTGTTCCTGTCACAAAGGAAGTACTCGTCATGTATTTGTTGAACCCAAGTCCCTTAGCTGCACACACTATATATATATATATTTATGTTTATTAATATATCTTAAAACCGAATTAACAGCTTTTAGCAACAACAAAATGTTAGTGTGCCCAGTGTACTTTTCTTAACCAAAGTTTCTTCATATGAACTACTATCAAGTAAAATCTTTCCCATCTTTATTTGAATAATCTTTCAGAACTTAAAAGCAAGCCTTTTTATTTTACCCCATTACACACTGGGGATTTCAATCCATCATAATAAGTGACGATGTGAGAATAAGGTATAGTAAGTGATCCATAAAGATCACACTGATTCTGGATTCTGCTTTTTTTACCTAACGAATTTGCCAAAAGGATATAAAATACTGCCAAAGGTCTTGCTAAATTCACTTTTTTGTCCATCACAGTCCCAACCACTCCCCACAATGAGTTTCGCACCCGGGTAACAGTCTACCAGCTGGGCTGCTTCCCAGACCACACCATCCAGCAACACTTGTTCACCTGAGAATCCAGACAGCTATGTTCTCCACCACAGCTTCCTCACCTCAATTTTTTCATGGGCTCTCCACTCTCCCCCTCCCCGCCCCTCTGCCAACCACACTTGTCTCTTCTCAGCGCAGAACCTGAGATCTACTTAAGACCCCTAAGCCAGCATGATGGCCACCAAGCCAATCAACAGTCCTGTGTCACTGTCCACACCCTGGTCCTCCTCCTTCTGGGTCACAGAGCAGGACTGAAAACCACATGCAGGTACATACAACTACCTGGACCAATTAATGCGCTCCACCTTTACCTGGGGCATGACTACTTCCCAGCAATAAAAACAAAACTGGTTAAGTCTGACTTCATCCTTGGTTTCTAAAAGTAATGTCCTACTCCTCCAATATCATCTCTATTTATTTTCAAGCTCCCTTTCCTCCCCAACCTCCTTAACTATGCATGTTACTACTCAAGGTTCTATTCCTGGTCATGTGCTCCTCTCTACTCTCCTCTGCAAGAAGTTAGGAATTCTCAGCCCTTCATACCACATCTCCGCGTCCCTACATTTGGACAGCTGATCAACACCGCAAACTCAATGTGTTTCAAATCAACTTCGTCATCTTCCCCCAGAAATCAGGATCCTCTGTTTCCCATCTCTGGCAACGATGCTATCACTTTACCACTGCTCCTAGTTTGAAACAAGGAAATCATCTGACTAACAATTTCAACGTGAAAGCATCTAGCCCAGGAGCTGGCCTGCAGAGCACTGTGATGCTGGCTTCTCTCTACACGGCATTACCAAGTCACCCGGACCTACCTGCTGATTCCCATCTGCTCCTAGGGTCCATGCTGTACCTTCATTTACACGGTGCTAACCCAAATCCAAATCTTCATCTCAAGCTTAAAAGACTGTGACTCTCTTCCTGTCGGCACTCTCATCCCTACCCTGCCCTGCATGTCAGCTTACAGCTCCCAGACCAGTTTCACTGCTGGACCACAAGAGATTTTAATTTTGTTTGCTTTTTTCTCTGTTTTCCAAATGTTCTAATGCAAACATCTGTAATCCAAAATTAAATATATAAGAAAAAAAGGTAAACAAGCATCCTGCTGGCTACTTTCATCAAGTTCAAACTCATCTAAGTTTCATGCTTTTCCTCATTCTCTGCCACCCACCGACACAGTCATTCTTTTCTTCTATACCCCAGTACATAACCTTGTTCTGATGCCAGTGTCCTCATCAATAGCCTTGGAGCCGGCCTGATTTCTCCTTCCACCTCGTTCTATTTGGAACTCGCTCTCCCTTCCCCATTTTTACTCCAATTATGCCCATTCTTTCAGGCCCACCCAAATCTTACATCCTCCATCAAGGCCGTCCTATGCCAGGAGTCCACACTGCAGCCTTCTTCTCTGAACTCACTCATTAATACACGCATGTGCCACCTGATTCAGCAAACTATACAGTATGCATTGTGCATACTATACCCTTACATGTTAGGCCTTTTACACAATAATTTATTATATATATGACAACCTTTGTTAAATGTAACCATTAGTTATTTCTCTTCAAGGCTAAACTTATAGTTACTATTTCATAATGCCTAATTACCTAATTTAAAACCCTGTAATCTTCTCATATCACATACTTTTGATTTTCTTATTTATTTCTTCAAGTCAGGTCTGCTAAACACCATGCCACTGCGACCTTGATCCCTGAAGATACCCCTGCCCCTGGCTCTTCCTCTCTCCCTTTCTATTTCAAATTGAACCCTCTCAATAGTGGACTCTGAATCTCTGAACCCAGAAATCCAATCAATAAAAATATACTTAAATGCAAAATTCACATTTTAGCCAAGTTACACTGTCTTTAGGCATAAGGAGTAATAGTGATAAAATGCTTTCATTTTAAAACTTTTCTGATGTTTATTGTAAATTTGGAACATACAGAGAAGTATAAAGAAAACAATAAAAATTACATGTAACTGCAGTACCCATCATTAAAAGGTTTTCATTTAAGCTAACTTGAAAGACTATCCTCATGTAAATACACATTTGTAACACAGATGTGAAAAACATTGAAAAATAGGGATATCAACAAAATTCCTGTTCTTAAGAGGGGAAAAAAGGCCAATTTTTCAAGGACGGCTATTAAATTGATGTAGTAAGTACAAAAAGAGAGGATTTTATAACTTTAAAGAACTTTCAGAATTTACAAGAGACACAAACAAGAAGAACCATAATTAAACTTACTAATCGCTGGGATAGAGAAGAGGTCAAATTCGGGCTGACGACACCATGTGCATGAAAGCCGAGTCTGGCCAGTCCTCTAACAGTGCGACCTAAACACACCCTCGGCCCCGATCCCATCACGGGCACGGGGAGAGCAGCAGGACTCCCTCCAACTCCCCTAGCGTCCTTGACAGGCCCCTTCTCAGAGGCTTCCATAGAGACGGGGACTAAATACTCCTCAAAAATAGCATCTAACACCAAAACTACAGAAAGGGACTAGGCCTGTGAGGTCAAACAAAATGGTAAACGCTGAACTGCAGCGTTTCCCCCCACTGACCACTAATTTGAAACAAAGTACTCTATGTAATTTAAAAATGAGCGTGAACAATACCAACTTGATTTTGTATAATAGTTTTGTACAGTTGAGGGCTTTTTTAAGCTGGGAGTTGCGAAGACAGAATACAATAAAAGAATATTAAATATTCACTTCTCTCACTACCCAGAATTAACCACTGTTAACACTTTGGTTCCTTTTCAGGTAATTCTTATATATTTTATATGGCTGATGTAATACTCTACATAACTATGGGGGTTTTTTTGGTGAGGAAGATTGGCCCTGAGCTAACATCTGTGCCAATCTTCCTCTGTCTTGTATGTGGGATGCAACCACAGCATGGCTTCATGAGTGGTCTGCCCTGGGGATCCAAACCCATGAAGCCCAGGCTGCTGAAGCATAGCACGCAAACTTAACCACTATGCCACCGCGCCGGCCCCTACACAACTGTTATATCCTGCTTTTTCCACTTAAAACATTTCCCATGTCTTTATATATTTTCATAAAACATAATTCAAAGCTGGCTCCAGAGCCAGACTATGGTGTCAAAGCGCAGAACAGGTTTTCTCACGCATTTCCAGACTGTGGGTGGTCTGGCTGCTTCCGATTCTGCATCTTAGAAACAACGCCGTGCTTTTACCTTACACGTCAATCTGCTCTTATTCCTATCAACCTGGGGTAAGTTCCTAAACACGAGGACTGCAGAGGAAGAGAACACGTATTTGGAGGCTGCGACACAGCTCGCGTTCTCTAGAGAAGCGCAGCACTGACCAGCACTGCTGCCCGCAGCTGCACAGCACTGAGGACACTGCGACAAACCTGATGAGCCAGAACGCTTACCTCAGTGCTACTAGAAAGTGCACATCTGCGGTTACAGAGGGGATCGAATGTTTTGTTACACTTATCGCTTGCAATTCCTCTTTATAAAAAAGTTGTCAATTCATTTTTCTGCCTTATTTACTGAACTTTTATTGTTTCTTATTGATCTGTATGAGCCCTTTATTCATTAAGAAAATTTTTTGCTTTTATTTCTGACTGAATTTTCCTTGTCATCTTTTTTTTTTAATGCTGAGGAAGATTTGCCCAGAGCCAACATTTGCGCCAGTCTTCCTCTATTTTGTACGCAGGTCACCACCACAGCATGGTGCTGATGAATAGTGCAGGTCCGCGCCCAAGAACCGAACCTGTGCCACCAAAGCAGAGCAGGTCAAACTTAACCACTGTGCCATGGGGCCAGCCCCTCCGTGTCATCTTTTAATTTCACTTTTATTACTTTTTCATATTCAAGTTTTAAATCTTTGTAATTCTTTAGATTAAAAGGCCATTTTCACCCACTAAAACTTTAAATCTTAAAACTAATCATGAATACTTAAATAAAATTACAAGTGTGTCATAAGGTCATATTGAATATGCATTTTAGTAAATAGCTTCTCTAAAAGTGGTTTACCAACAGGTCACAAATGGGATCGTATAAAAGCCCAGAACTGTCAGTGTGAGCAACCCAAGATGCACCGTAAGCACACTTACCTGAGAGAGGCAGGCAGTGACTCCAAAGAAAATCTGACACGACTCTGGAGAGAAACCATTCACTCTGTTTTACAGTTATTAAGATTTCAATGAAAGAAGATTAGTGCAACTGTGCTCACTAACAGACACACCCTTTTTGCCCGCCTGGACATTACCCACCCGCTCATTCCCGCTCAGTCCATTCAGGAAAGAGACAGACTGAAGCTGACCCAACAAGAGCAAAGGGCAGACTGGCAAACAGAGAACTGACCACGGAGAGAACTGAAAGGTCTCCGTCAAGTGCGTTTTCAAATCTAACCTCTCCACTTACAGCAGCAATCAAACGGGCACAACATTTTCAGGGGGGTAAACATTTGACCTCTGAGCTAGCTAACCATCCAAACATACATACACTCATACACGCAGATACATACATACTCATACGGGAGAACACTTATTTTAACAGCAAAGTAAGTTTACTTTGGAAGGAAACATTAATGTGATGACTTCTGTTGCATAGCAGAGAGAATCCTTCATAAAAGAACTCGACTTCTAGTTTTATTACCATCACTTAGTTTGCAAACTTGGGCAAGACAACTCTGAGATTTAGTATCTCCTTTGTTAAAATAAGTTAGAATATATAATTCCCAAGATCTTCCCAGTTCTGAAGCTCTTTTAAAATTCATTCAGAATATTTCCTGAGAGCTTACTATGTGCAGACACTGGGCATGTGGGTACACACAGCAGACGTGGCCTCCAGGAGCTCATACTTTAAACTTTTTGAAGAACTTGGAGTGTCTAGAATTTCCTCCCTACAGGGGGAAAGTACAGCTACTGAGGGAGAAGTGAATTAAGAAAAATGGGTGAGACTGAAAATTCTATGGCAATTTGGAATCTCCTATGGAGGGCTGCTAAGTCTCATCAAGACAGGAGCCCACATGACTGCAAGAGGCTCTGCAGACCCCAGCATCATGCCTGCGGCCCCCTCATCCAAGATGCTTCCATCCTCCTATCTTAGCTCTGGCACTTTCTACTTCCCAAGACTTGGGGAAACAGGAACAAAGGCATATCTAGACTGTGCTGTCTAACACAGTCCGGGGCTCCCTCTTCTGTCCCTTTAAGCTTCTTTGGGATGGACAAGTAAGAGCTCAAAGAAGACAACTACTTTGGAATTTTTGTGTGTGGGGTACAGGATCCAGAAAAGGAAGACTAGCCTCTTACCTTCAAAAACATCCCTCCCACCCCCAGTCTTTTATACCTGCGCTTATTTAAGAAAAAAAAAAAAAAAAGTCTCAAAAAAAAAAAAACAGGAACCAATTTCCTCTAACTTTTTAGATTTTGGATGAGAAATCTTAGAATTTGAGTTAGAGCTGCTAAGTTCTGCACATTCTCCAGGAACTGCTTACAAAGGGATATTTTCTGTTTATTTGAGGTCCCCCATAAATATTTCAGACAAGATTCCCTGCATCCTCATTGATTCAGTAAGTAATAAATGCATTTGCAGGCACCGCCTGGCAGAGCTGCAAAACAAAGCAGGTTGAATGACCTCATCTCGTGCCCAGGGCTGAGATTTTAACATCCTAACTGTACGGCACCAGGCACCCTCAACAAGAAGTGATCTTCAAAATCAGTTATGCATGGAGTGACCCTCCAGGGAGGGTTCCTATTCCCAGGGCGAAACAGGAGCCACGCAGCCCAGAACACTGAACAGCAGCCTACAGTGTCTCATGACGCGACATCTAGCACAGTGCGGGGTGGACCTGAGTTCTAGAGTCACACTCAAGAAATGTCAAAGAACACGTGCACACGAGGGAGCTCCTTGAGGGCAGAAATGAGGTCTTGTTGACCCCTCTATTTTCAGTACCCAGCCTACAGCAGGTGTTCAATATGTGCACTGAATTAATAAACCTTCCACCCAACATAATTAAAAAGAATAACAATGCATGTTACAAAACTAAAAACATTCTGACGTTCTCCTCCCTAATCTGTTCTTTAAATGACTCATGACTTGATCCATACAGACTTAGAATTTTGGAAATACTCCGTCTAACTAGACAACACAAAAACGATCTGTTTCAATGACAAGAACACTGAGGTCCAGAGAAGCAGGCTGCCCAAGATCATAAAGCCAAGTCCCAGAAGAACCAGAACTCCCGCCTCCAGGTCGCAGCCTGGAGCTACTTCCACACAGCTGGTCTGCTGCTTTTCCACGGGTAACAACAAGGATCAGGTACATAAAATCTGATACAGGATGGAAAATAGTAGGAATACACAGTGCACACAACACAACTTGCCCTAACTAACATGTCTACTCTTCCCTCAGTAATGATCATTTCAGTGTGAGACGCAGAGTCCTCCTTCCCCTCCTCCCTTCCCCCAGAAAGGATACGGCAGAAGAGCTCCACACTGAACGGACAGAAGCACCCAGGAAGGCTGCAAGAGAAAACATTAACAGGAATCAAAAACATTTCCAATCAGCATCAAAACGACATTAGTTCACTAGTGTTGCTCCTAGAAATTAAAGGCTCTGCTATAAAGTGTTCAGACTAAAATTATGAGTATTCACGTAGCAGAAATATCAGAGTCGAAGATTAGCTATTAATACCCAAGGTGAAAAGCCCAATTATAGAGTGAAACGCTACCAGATCTTAAAAAATTCTTACGTACAGAACTTTAAATTCTGGGTTTACACACTCATTATTGCTTACGCATAGAAACTGTCTCACAATGGCAGGGAGGGGATCTGACAGCCATGCCCCCCCCCATCCAAAGTATACCGGCGCCTCCTAAGTTCCTTTCCGGAATCCTGAATCCAACCAAGACTAAATTGTGAGGTTTTTTCAGTGAAGCCAAGCAGATACAACAGTTTGCAAACCAAAAAAAGTATTTCTAACTGGTAATTTTTTTATGAATACCAAAACACAGATTAATTATAAAACCTTAATTACTACCTTTTGGGTAACTTACAGTTTTGAAAAATTATCTTATCTTATATTTCTATATTTACCTTTGAAAATTACATTACCTTGATAGCTCTGCTTCACAAAATTACTACGTAAAAATATAATAATGCCCCATTTAGCCAGCTGAATTGCAGAAACTTCAGCCAAGTGACACATGCGTACATACTCGTTACTCACGCCTCAATTCACACATCAAATATTTAGTGAGAATCTATGTTGCACCAGAGACGGTGCGAGGCACTGGGTTATAACGAAGAACAGAAATGCAGCCTTTGCTCTCACGCAGCTTATGTCCCAAAGTAACGGCCTCCAGACTATGTCTGCCATGTGCACCTTAAAGAACTGAGGAAAACGAAGTACCTTCTCATCATTTTTTAAGTGATGTCAACAATTTTGCAGCATAAGTTTACAGAAGTGTATCATCTGCAAACGGAGCGTATTAATGTTAAACATTTTATAAAATAAAGATTGGCTCTACTTGGGATAATTATCTCATGATGATTTGATAATTGTATCAAATGTTTTAACTAACTTATTGGATAACGTGCACCAAGCTGAAAGAAAGGGACTCCACGTTTCTATCCATGCACTTTATCCAGCCGAACTGCACATTTCTGACAGTCCTGGGAAAATGTAAGGGCACTGGCCGCATCAGTAACCCATCCTGGCTGCGACTCTTCTGCACTCAGAACGTCTCCACAGGGGCAGCTTTATTCTCAACAGTGAGAACTGGAGGCCCTCGGAACTCCGTGGTTGCATGGCTGAGCACTGGGGCGGTTTCTTGAAACCAGTATTTCTAGTTTCCCTTTGTCTAGTGAACAGGAGGATTTTCAGAGCCCAGGGCGATGCACTGTAATACCATTTGCAAGGGTGCAGGTATGACTTCTCCCAAGTGCAGTGGGAGAGAGGCCACTGTGACCAGAGGAGTGTTCTCAGGCAGCTCTGAGAAGGCCATGTAAGCACACGGCCTCTGGAAAGGACCCCTCTACGACTGGCCATACAGCAGACACCCTGGAAAGCGGCCCCTCTGGGAGCTGGGGGTCAGGTAAGCAGGGTATCCTGCTGAAAGACTGCTTGGCCAGCTATCAAAGTCCACACAGAGCAGAATCGCCCGCAGGTCCTCAGATACGTCTAGATAAAACAATGCAAAGGTAAGTAAAGACACACTAACAGCAACAAAGCAGACAGCAGTGGAGAACTGGAAAAGCACAGTAACATAAGGAGCTATTTATCCCAAACGCTAATAACAATATATAAAAATAAACCCACTCCAAGTGAACATAATTAACATTTCCAATGATGCCCCAAGAGCACTGAGGAAATTCCATTAAATAAATTATTTTGAAAGTTCTGGTGCCTAAAGAAGTTTTAAACAGCTGTAAATTCAAATACGTAAAAGATAGATAAACTGTCACCACGCTAAGGCTAACTTATTTTTAACAGGCATTTGTCAAATTTAATACAAAGGTAAAGGCCAAGGGCTATGTGCTTGGGGAACCAGGCCTCCACCCCAATCAGCTGAACTCCACCGTTAGCAGCAGCCGCCAAGAGAAAAAGCCTATTAGGTGCAGGCCAAGAACATCAGGGTCTACCGGCACCACCCTGGAGTGAAAACAAACTGTTGGATCAGTTCTGAAATGTTCCATCATCCTGTAATGTAACACAGCAGCCCAAGACAATACAGGTGCTGCCATCAGTTCAGGCAGGCTGGAGTGCTGAAGGACGAAACAACAGCATCCCTGGGATCTGTTCTAAAACATTATAGCCAAAGGGGTAAAAGGCAGGATGGGGAGGTATGAAGCTAGATCAGCAAAATGGAGGTAGGCGCAGACGCTGAGTAACGGGTACTTTTATGGAGCCTGCCTATAGCCTGACTTTTCCAGGACACAACTACTGTGTAAAACGAAGTCTGCTTTGTTTAGCTCAGAATTTTAGTAAGGACTGATCAACACTTTGAAATGTCACCTCACAGCTGGCGACTCCACTTGCAGGATATGAGGATCATTGCGCAGCTGTGGCAGCCACATTCACCGTGATTCTATACACAGCAGCACCTGACTCCCTTATTCCATCCTCTGGTGTAGTTGTGCCCAAGCATTTACATATTGAGATGCATACTTATAATATGTACTTTCCTTTTTTCTCCTCTCCATTTCAGTTTGGGCAATGTATATACACACATAAACATACATACACATGTACATATCTATTTTAAATTATATGATGTCATCTTATGCATGGCTGTCATTTTAGGATAATAAAAGGGGTATTACAAAATCTTTGTTATGAACAGGGGCTTGGGGTCACCAGATTTAAGAGCTGCTGCTGTAAGTGGTCTGGTAACAATGACCTAGGACCCCAAAATCTGTTAATAAGATTGCCTCTTCAGGTTCCCTATGAAACCTATGCAGTATATGGAAGTCACTCTGACGAGACAATAGGCCCCAGGCTATTGTCTGGGAGAATGAAAGTCTGTAGACAGGGGAAGGGCCTGAGCCCCAGTACCTACAGCTAAGGAAAAATAGAAGCAAATTGAGACAAAACAGGGTCCACTGGAGCAGCACCCAAGGCCACAGCCCAGGGTCTGTGAAGCCCATCTCTCTTACAAAACGGCATCAGTTGAACTGGCCAGGAAGCCTGCTGATACTCAGTCTTCACAAAGGATCTGCTGCTGAGCGAGCCCAAGCTGGCCACGCTGAAACAAGCACTCTCGCACAGGAAGGTGACCACGTATTTCATCACCGCGAATTAACAGTCATTCTGACTTACATAGCAGTCTCTTGAGAGTCTGGTTTAGGAGAATCTTCTCATGAGACAGATCTGCTTTCAGGTTTATTTTCAAAAATCAAGTTTCTAAGTTTGTAAGGCAGAGTTTCAGACCATGGATACTGGTGTGTAGTTCAGACTTCCCAGCAGCCAGCCAGCTTCTCTGCTTCCCAGCCTGACTTAATGGCAACCCTTCCTAGCTCCTACCTCTGTCATCATTAAAGCACAATAACTTTCATACTGATTTTTAAGGCAAAGCATTTAATAGCATGAAGAGGAGGAAAAAATGGTAGTGGAATAGAAGTATTTTAAAACAAATACATAATACAGAAGATTAGAAAAAAGGGGCCGGCTGCATGGCTGAGTGACTAAGTTCGCGCGCTCCGCTGCGGCGGCCCAGGTTTTGGATCCTGGGCACGGACATGGCACCGCTCGTCAGGCCACGTTGAGGCAGCGTCCCACATCCCACAACTAGAAGGACGTGCAACTAAAATATACAACTGTGTACAGGGGGGGTTTGGGGAGATAAAAGCAGGGGGAAAAAAAGATTGGCAAAGGTTGTTAGCCCAGGTGCCAATCTTTGGGGGTGGGAAAAAACAAAAGATTGGCAACAGTTGTTAGCCCAGGTGTCAATCTTTAAAAAGAAAAAAGAAAAAAAATGTTGAAGGATCAAAATTACAAAATTAAATCTTACAAACATACATTTAACAGCAGTCAATGCAACTATCAGCCACAACAGAGCAGCATGGTATAAAGATCAACAAACTCTGCACAATTCAGCCACCAGCTGAGACCCCCACTTTCTAGAATAAACCACCTATAGGTCAAGTTGGACACCAGCACTGACGGCCACTCAGTGGACAATGTTACAGACGGTCATTGTGACCCTTGTCAGAGGGTCAACAGCACAGCAGGTGGGGAACAGGGCCTCCTTCAACTTGTACAGCTGGAAGTGAGGACCACTTGCCCCAGCCGGGATGGAAAGGAACCCTGTTCCAGGAGTTACTGACAGGACTCAGCCTGCTTCTGGAATCAAATACACTTTCTAGCGAGAATTCACCACTGCCCATCTGTTTCAGGCCAACCCACCCACTTCCTACAACACATGTCCACAGCTTAGCATTCTCCCAGACAGCGACAACATCGGGTCATCCCAGAGCAGGTGTATAAGCTGATCGACCTAGAGTTACGGGTCACGTACAGAACCCTCACCACAGGGTGATCTAACTCAAAGGGCCTTCAACTAGGTAGGTGCTGAGACGCCCAAAGGGCTTCATTCATCTGGCCGTTTCCCTCACAAAGCAGTACTTAAGCAAACAGGCTGAGAAGAGTTATATTAAAACTTCGATGTACTGGTTTCAAGATACATGATGAAATGCATAAAAATAATTAGATTTACTACCAACCTTTACGACAGGTAAATCAAAGACTTCCCGAGCTTCTCCAACCTCTGGATTGTCCCCGTCTTCTGAAATGATGTGCGAGGCTAGTGCGTTATAGGACACTTCCTTAGCTTTCCCAGCTTTGAGAAGCTGAATTACCTTTAAAAAAAACCCACACAAATTAAAATGGAAAATACTTCATTTCATTACTGGTTTACACAAATTATTGTGAATAATGAAAACTCTAATAAAAACACACATGTTCTCCAGACAAGATTAATAACCTTTCACTGAGTCACACACAATGAAACATTTGTGGACCAAGAAACACAGCAAGACTTGGTTCACTGAGCAAGTATGGCGGCTACTGTGTGCCGGGTACTAGGTGATGTCTGTCCTGAAGACAGAAGGACGGACAGTTAGAATGCAGAACCCTGAGCGTGGAGACTGGGCATATGACATTCCCAGACCTCAAACTTAAAGGCTTGGGGATGAGTAGTTTCACTGCAAATGGGAAGGTTTCTGGAAGAGGAGATATATAAGCAGAATCCTTACAAATCTAAAGGAGTCAGTCAGGCAAAAATATGGGCACTGTCTGGAGAGAGCAGCGTTCAACACTCCGGGCAGGAAAATACGGATCAGACCATAGGTGGTCTTTCTTATGTGCTATGCAAAAACGTTTGTATTTTATTCTAAAATAAAATAGAGAAGTGTCTTCTGAAGAGACAGGGGAGGATTTTAAGCAGGGAAGTGGCATGATCAGATTTTACAGGAAGACTACTGTCAGTGTAAGAAGAATGGGCTGGATTGGCTGTATGACTGGAGCCAGGAGACCTGTTAACTGCTGCAGTAATCCAGGTGAAGAAACAGGTCACTGAACTAAAGGACTACCACTAGGGACAGGCAGAAGGAAGATGTGAGAATCAGCCAGACTGGTGACTGGAAGGGGTGTAGGCACACGAGGAAAGAATGAAACGTGCTGCGGAACAAGAGCACCACTACTGAGGACCGTGACACAGGAGCAGAGGGCAGGGAGCCCTTCTGTGGCTGCCATGCAGGAGATCTAGGAAGATACAGCCCGGGGTATCCAGGAAAAGACTCGGGTCCCACTTTGGCGGTGGGGAGTCATCAGCTTTTAAAGATGGGAGCCAAACCTCTGAGTCAATGAGATCCCGGGAGCGCAGAGTGGGAGGAGACTGGAGGGTATCCACCCACAACACAGACTTCAGGGGCAGGTGGAAGGAAGGGCAGAACCCTAGGGGAGTGGTGTACGCTCAGAGGAGCTGAGTGAGCACCTATATGAAGGTAATGCAGTGCCCACACAGCTAAATCTACCCACAAGTTGCACAAACTTTTTGGAATACTATATTGACCATCAATAGATGTGAAATGGAGCAGATGCTAAGTATTCGTTTAATAAATGAAAAAACAATGGTCATTAGCCACAAACGACCTCCAAGCATCTTCAGCTTCACACATCCATTCAACCTGTCTCACAGAAAAAGGCACCCCTCCTTGTACCCACCCTCAGGTCTGTGTTTCTCACCTTACTGCCTTTTTTATGAGTCTTGAGATTTCAAGCTCTCCCCCTCAGCCTGGAAACAAGTCTTCCACTGCATAACATGTAGGCACGTGCACACAGACCCATGCCCTGGCCTTCTCTTTCTCAGGCCACCTTTTCTGCTTCCTTTCAATCACAAATTTGTTGAAACAACAACCCAGCTTTCTGTCTTCACTTCCTATTTGTCCTTTAACTCACCACTACCCAGCCTCTTCTACCAACACTCTACTGAAAATACTCATAGTTTTCACGAACTTTAAGGACAAAACCACTAGCTTCTTTTCAATCCCCACACTACTGAATCTCTACCTTACTACATTTATCTCACGTCACTGCTTCAGAGGTGCTGATTATCCTGATGTATCCCAAATACATTAACACCTTCATTCCTTAGCATATACATTCCACCTGAAGGAAATAATCTTTCACCCTCTTCATAACTTCTGCTTATCTCAAGACCCAACCAAAATGACACCTACTTTGAAACATTTCAGTGGGGCTTCCTCTATGCATCCCAGTGGAGAAATCTGTTCCACCAGCACCTACCACCCCACGCTACGTCTTGACTATATATACATATATATGTACACACACACATATATATATATAAAATGCCCCCACCTCCCCCCTCAAGGATAATGCTCAGGTCTTATTCTTTATATTATACCCAGTACCTACTCCAATGCCTGTCACGTAAGAGATGTTCAACACATGTGAACTTCCTGAATTCATATTTACAAGATTCAGAAAATCAGAAGATCTGGCTCTAAACTTTTTAGAAAATATACTGTTTCAGATCAAAGTGGTTTGCCAAGAAGATTTTTAAGCACTTAGTTTTGATTCATAGTTGGGCAAATATGGTTCCAGTTCAGCTTGTTCCAGGTTTTAAGTAACATTTGGTTCAAGTTCCTTGTAAGAGGCAAAGTCCTAAAATGAAATGGGGGGCAGGGGGTTAGGAAGCAGAAGGGAAGAAAAACGGCAGTGAAAGTAAAGGAAATTAAGACTGGAAAAAGCTACCACTGTTACAGGCACTCATTTGATCACTCTGGGTTCAGCATCCGTTTATCTTTAAATTCAAAGCTAAAAGTCTCTTCACCCTAAAGTTACAGTAGAAAAAGGATCACCCTGGGGTCATGCAAGAGAGTTTAGTTACTAAGACACCACCAGACAAGCCTCTGGAAGGCCAAGACCAAGGAGCCTCCCACAATACCTTGTAAGCCAACCGAGTTTGTTACATACAGTCCCCACTCTCCCAAGCCTCAGTTTGGGTCACCCACTGCTCACGCCCCTCCTTCTAACTTAGCCCTGGCTGCTAATGAGACACCTAAGGTGGGAGAACCACACAGTTAAGCTAAATTGTGAAGATTAACCTGAAGAGGACAGTCAACTAAGATTCTTTCCCACCACGGAAGGATAACATTCTGACATTTCAACAGAAGTTCTTACTCAGAAAAACCTTAGGAAAAGCCACAGGATCCTCTGGCGTGAGCCCAAACTACAAAAAATTAAATGTTTAGTGTGTTGGTACTACCAGGGTATTTTCCACATTTACTGTATAATTTGCCCAACTAGGAAAATCAAGGAATACGAATCGGCTGGTGGTGAAGTGAGCGCTTCTCAGCCAACACAAGAGGACCTGGGCTGCGCGGCCCAGGCACGCGAACTCGAGCTGCGGGCCACACCAGGGGCCCAGCCAACTGTCCCCTTGACAGCCTGGAACTCAGGGTCCCCACGCGAGCTCCAGGGCCAAGGTTCCCGCTCCCACCTGTCACCTGTCCACCTCTCCAACCTACCGCCCTGGGAGCCGGGACGCTGGAGCGGAGCGGGCAGCAGGAAGGATGCCACCCTCGAAGGAGCAGAAAGTAGGAGTCGGGCCGAGGCGGCGGGCTCGCGGGCTTACTGCCATGCGACAGGACGCCAGTCCTTACCAGGCGGGGGACGGTGACAATTGGCGCTAGGCCCAAGTTCGGGCTATCGGAGGGGCGTCGTGCAAGCGAGGGGCCCGGGCGCAGGCCCCCACCCACGTGCCTGCCCCTCCTCTCGGGTCTGAGCGCACCCGCAGGTCCCCTCCCCGCCGCGGGTCCTGCAGAGCACCCCCCAGGTCGCCGTCCCTCCCCCCGGTCCTCGAGGTCCCCACCCCCCGGAGCGCGGGTCGGGTAAACCCCGGTCCCTTCCCTCTCCTTGGGCCCCGGTTGCAGGCCTGCTCGGCGCCGGGCGGCCCAGCCTCCGCGCGGCCAGGCCGGCCGGGACCAGGCGGCGGGGCCCGACGTTCTGCGCCCAGCGCGCGCCCGAGGCGGGAGCGGGGCCGGGCCGGGGACGCGGCCGGCGGGCGGGCGGGCGGGGGCGGTGCGGTACCTGCGGGTCGATGTCGCCCACCGCGTAGTACTTGACCTCCTTGAACATCTCCTCCGGAACTTGGGGCGCCGGGTCCGACATGGTCGCGGCGGCTCCCGCCCCGCCCCGCGGGGCCCTCTCCCCAACGGCGCGGCCCACGGCCCCCGCACGGTCCTGCGAGGCGGGCCCGCTCCCCCGCCCTCCGCGCCCCCGCCCGCGCCGAGCGGCCCGAGCGCGGGAGCCGCGCGCGCCCTGCGGAATGCACCATCCTGCGCGGCGCCGAGGGGGAGCTCCTAGGAGCCGGCCGCCCGCGGGCGCCGCGCAGCGCCTCCGCTGCAGCCCGCGGTCCCCAGGGAACGGGCACCGCCCAGCCCGCTGCGGAGACCGGGGACCCGTAGCGGCCGCTCACTGAGTGGGGGTGTCCCGGTGAAGCGGGAAAACACGCCCCCCCCTCGGTGCGGCCGCAGTGGACCGGCCCAGGGAAAAAGGGAACGCGAGGCCCCTCCCGTCACCACGCGCGGCTGCTCGGGTCGCGCATGCGCGCGGCGGGGGCGGAGCCTGCGGGCCAGGCGGCGGGAGCGGGCCTCGGGCGCTCTGGCCGGGGTCTCGGGGCCGTGGGCACAGAAGAGCGGAGTGTCGGCGGCTGCTGCCCGACGGGACCCGAGGTAACGCCCCGGCGCAGCGGCCGAGGGGGGGCCGGGGGCCGGTCCCGGCGGCGGGGCGGGGCGCTGACCGCGTCGCACCGACGCCGCAGGCTGGCTTCTCCCCGCCTGGCCCGAGCCCCGCTCCCGCCTGGGCCGTCGGAGCGAGCCCGCCCCGCCCCCGGAGTCCTGACGACCGCGCGCCGCGACGTGCCCCGCCTCTGCCGTCCTCCCGGGGCGGGGCCTGTGGTCCGCGCGGCCCGCGCGCTCGGTTCCGGCCGCCCGGGGAGCGCCGCAGGGCGTCGGGAGAGCGACGGGAGTGAGCGTGCGTGGAAGTTGGTCCCGAGGAGGAGGAAGCTTTCGGAGCCCCCGTGCCGCCCCGATGCGACCTGAACGCGCTTCCGAGGCACGGCTGAGTGGGCCCGCGGGGCTGGAGGCGGAGCGGCGTGGGGCCCCGTCCGCCGTCCTGGTCCGGGGTGCGGCGGCGGCGGCCTCGTGCGCGCGGTGAGCGGCTGCCCACGGGGAGGGGGCGAGCGCGCCCAGCCTTCTCAGTATTCGTCCGTTTTCTCTTCCTCGTGCTTCTGCCTTTTGCCGTTTTCGTTTGTCTTTAGAACAGCATGAAACAGCCACATTGTAAAGCTAACGGATTTCCTTTACAAATAATAAAAGCATTCAGAGTTTGCCTGAATGAGTAAGAACTTACGGTCCTTCCTTTGAATACCCAGGAATATGTTTAGTATTCACCATTGCAACGTTTTACATTGGCCGTTGAGAAAACGTCAGTGTAATAAATTAGTTGTAAATAGAACCAAAATTAGCGTGCCCTTTATTGACCTGTGTGAGATAACTTGGTGAGCACTGTTCTTCTTTGGTTGCATAGGAGCTAACCATGTGGTATTATGTTAAAACACTTAAAGCATACCCCAGCCGGGTATTGTGTAAGTTAAAAAAGAACTTGGAACACCCAGCAGGACAAGCTTACTCTACTATGACTTCTGATAGTAAGGTAGATTATGGAACTAAGTAACCTGTTTAAAATGTCATCAGCCTGTCGGAAATTGTAGGACACCCCATGTGAACCGTGCAGGTCAGTGTAGTACTGTCAGTGCAAATAATATAACTGATCTAAAAATCACCATAAGGTGAGCCAGATGTGAGGACTAGCCTGGGCCCTCCTTCGGCAAGGAAGGAAGGGCACCAAAGAAGTAGGGTGTACAGAGTGGCTGTATACTATCAAAGAGCATGTATCGCATATGAATGGAATGTCCCTTTTACAGAAGTCACAAGACTGCCTTGTTGGCACAGCAGTTCACGCAGCAGGTAGTAGGTCTGCTATCTCGAGCTGGGTGGTCACAGGAGAGTGCAGCCATTGGTTCCTAGTCTAGGGAGATGCTTATCCTTAAGGAAATGGGACTGTGGGGAAGTTGCACCTTTATCTTAAGGCCAGTTGTTCTTGTCTTTGGGACATAGCAAATCCTTAAAGCAGCTATAAATGCATGCTCAAAGACCCCGTCACACCCTTTTGGAAAAACAAGGTCAGGCCAAATAAGTTTTACACCAAATGGCTTCCTCATATATTCCAGTATCCTACTGCTTGTCATTTGTTTATCAGTACGCACGTGCAGGCCTTACGGCACCCGCATAAGGCAGGCCCAGGTCACCACACAAAGAAAACATTCCGTAGAGTGTATCCAACACTGCTGCTTGCCAGAATGAGAAATAAACAGCTTTAGATGAAATCTAATTTCATGTGCATAGTGGATGTTCTGAGGAAGTCTGCAAAACTGACATCCTGAAGTTAGGAGGGATGACTCTACCAGAAGACTTACCGGTGGCAATTCAGTTTTTAAAAACTAGCACTAAAACTCCTAAAAAATGATCTTCACAAAAGGTCCATTTCTGTAAGATATCCATATGCAAAGTTATAGAAAAAAATACCATATTGAGACTGCTGTATTTTATTCACCAATAAATAGATACTTCTTATCATTGATTTTTGTGGCAGTTAGAGGATTACCCACTTTCGGGTAATAACAGTATCAGTTGTTAAACAGAAGCTTTGCGTTTCTGTTAACTTTGATGCGTGTACTACCCCCATATATGACACTCTGAGCATTAATATTTTACACTTCTTCCAACTGTGGGAGATCAGAATTGGCCACCCCAAAATGTGTTTCTTTGGCTTGATTATTTTTAAGGACAAAAGACTGAGAGAAACTTTGACCTTCCCCCTAACTGCCTAAAAAAAAAAATTTAAGAAGTCCTGACAGGCCATCATCAGAGATAACTGTGGGTTTGATAGATTGGGAGCATCCTTGCTAAGCCCATTTTTATCAAAGTTCTCTGTCTGGTCACATTGTCTGTAGATGGCCCAGCAAATATTTGTTTACCAGACATTTGCTTTTCCATCTCCATGTGAATTGTCTTCCCCTCCTTTGAAGTCCCAAACCATTATCCCCAACATCCTCCTTGTCTTTAGCTGGAGATGGTATTTGAGGTCGTGGCTTCAGCCATTTTGTTTGAGTTGCTCAGTGTTCCTGGGTTTCTCCTGTGTGTACATGTTATTAAACTTTGATTTTCTCCTGTTAATCTGTCTCATGTAAATTTAATTCTTAGACCAGCCAGAAGGACCCAGAGGGGAGAGGAATAGTTCTTCCTCCCTCTGTGGCTAAGTTCAAAACAGTTGTTTTGTTGATAATCGACCTTCAGAGAATAAACAGCTTGTTTAATGCTAATTTGGTAAGTAGAGTAATGCATTTGTGGTTATCTCTTTTGCAAAATTAGATAACCTGAGGCTAGAATAAAAGTTAAGTGTGAAGTTAGAAAAAGCGAAAATAGAGTTGGGAATATTTAACTCAAATTGTACCTACTGGTGGGAACTTGAGGCAGTTATTTAGATAAATATTTCCAAATGGCTTTTTTAGAACACATCTCTTTATATTGCATACAACAATCTCAGTCGTGTTCTCATGTTCAGTTCGGTTCAGCTAGTCACACAACCCTTAAAGGTAGCTATTAGCAATGTTCGGTAAACCTTTAGTTAGGGTTTATAGGCTACATTTAACCTTTTCTTGAAAGGGAATACTTAAGTTACCGGCACAAACAGGCCAGAGTTTTATCGCAGGAGAACCTGGGAACCCAGAGGGCGTTGTGTCTTTATGGGAAAGGTTTAGTCGACTAACCCACAGGGCACAGTTGCCCCCAGTAGTTATCTAGCTATTAAGTGTAGTAAACCTAAAAAACATGAGTGAGGGAAAGAAGTAAATTACCCCAAATCCTATCCCTAGAAACAACACTTAAAATCCTTGTAGACTTTTCCCCTCATATAAAAGTATTTTTTGAGGCGGGTCTGGTGGCATAGTTGGTAAGTTAGCATGTTCCATTTCGGCAGCCCAGGGTGCACAGGTTTGGATCCCCAGTGTGGACCTAGCACCATATGTCAAGCCACGCTGTGGCAGCATCCCACATAAAAAATAAAGCAACAATCTTCCTCAAGCAAAAAGAAAAAGATTGGCACAGATGTTAGCTCAGTGACAATCTGTCCCACAAGAAAAAAAATTTTTTCCTTAAAAAATATTATTCCACATGCACTTCTCTGTTGCTGCTTAAAAAAAACAAAATAAGAATGTCCTTCCATGTCAGTAAATAATAGATCTACATCATTTAATGGATGATACATAATACTCTGTTTTTTAATGTACTTTATCTAACCAATTCTGTATTGTTGCACATTTATTGTTTCCAATTTAACAATTACAATGCTGCAGTGAAGCAGTCATCTTAAAATAAGGCTACATGTGTGATGTATTATACTGTTCCATGCTCTTAAGGTCAGAAATTATGTCCCGTACCTGTCTCCCTTCTCTCTACGCACATTGCCTAGCACACAGTGAGCTTATTATCAAGAGGACTTAGATCAGTGGTTCTCAACTATGCCAAATGCCCCGTGGGGGTCAAAACTGCCCAATGTCTGGAGACATTTTGGGTTGTCGTGACCACAGGGAGGGGGTACTACTGGCATCTAGTAGTGGAGGCCAGGGAGCTGCTGAACATCCTACAATGCACAGGATGGTCCCCACAACAGAGAAATCGCCTGTGCAAAATGTCAATAATACTGCTGTTGACAGAGCTGGTTTGAGATGCTGTAACAAACTACAGCGTTTCACTGGATTAAGACATTGGAAGTTTCTTGCACACAACTTGGTGGCTTGCTCAGACAACTTTCCTCCAAATGGGCACTCAGGGCTTCTGTCATCTTGTGGCTTTGCTATCTGAGAGCCATTTGCTTCCAGCTCTAGACGAGGAGAAAGCAAATATAATATTGTGCAGAAAATTCTATGGCCAGGCGTAAAAAGAGCAGCATACTTCCACGTCCAACCACTTTCATTGGCCAGAACCTGGTTGCTTGATGCCAACCTAAACTGCAAGGGAGCGTGGGAAATGTAGTCGTCTATGTATCCTGGAAAAGGAAATGGGATTGATGGCATCTTGCCAATTTCTGCCGTTTTTAGTTTTCAAAAAAAATCTACAAATGAAGATTGCAGAATGCAATATAACATAAAACAGAAAATTCTTAAAGATAATTTTTTAAAAACCATGCTTGCAAATAGCTACTCAATAGATACTTCTTGAATGTGGGGTAATTAGCTTTTGATGGAAAGGATTAATAGTGTTCTTTTTAAAAAGCAGTTAGGTGTTTATTGAAGGCCTGTAATGGACATGCTGGATATTTTCCATTCGTCTTACTCCCACCCTCAGATCCACGCCCCATCCTTCACCTGTTCTCTGCTCCAGGACCCTGACCTGACTGGATTATATAAATAATCTCCGTCGTACTCTGGCTTCCAGTTGATTTGGTGAATGGGGAACCCCAGCAGAGAGGTGAGGGGATGGGAGGGAGAAGAGTGGGCTTAGGGTGTTTATTTCCCAGGTTCCTAGTCAGGTTTCCTTGAGCTGGCAAGGTAACCTGTTCTGTCCACTCTCCTTCCAGGTTCTGTTCGTCTTTCCTTGTTAAATTTGAGGTA